ATTAAATAATGTGTTGGGGTTGGGTCCATTATTGAAACCTTGAGCTATTTGAAGTTGGGTTGGATAAACAAAAATCGTCCAGTGATGGATTAAGGTTTAAACGCCTTAGATAAGGATTCTGTTATAGTCCCATATGTTATTAAAAACTCCAAACAATATTAATAAGATATATTTCATAGAATTAATTACTAGAAACTCATTATGATCATAATGAGTTTCTAATATTATTCTTTCATATTCTCCGTTTGTGAAGTTGGAAAGCGCCTGAATGTCGTCTAGTTTTCGTAATTACTCTTGTTGTATGGCTACAATGTTGCGTACTACTTAGATGTTCTTTAACTTCCACAACATTTATGAACGGCTGTGTCAGTTAGATGTTATATCTTCATTATCTAATTCAATCATGTCATTTTTCGCATATGCGTATTATATATGAGTTTACCTTTTTTTGTTTTCTTCTTTTGTATAATTTATGTATATACTTAATTGAATATTTATTGTTTATGTTTCATTACCACAGCGCGATCATAATTATTTATAGAATTAAATTAGTTTTCCAAAAACAAAAAAGGAAAAATAACGGAAACATGGTCTATTTTAGTAAATTTGTATTGACGATAAAGGACGAACTTTTTTATTATCTCAAAACAAGTTAATACCTTTCAAAGTTCGCACGATTTGTATCACTTAATTAAGTTTAACTTCAGTTTATTTAAAAATACCAATGTGCTATACTATTAATTAGTGTGGACGAGCCCAATGTTGAGAAGAACAAATAAAAATTGTTTTAAAGTTAGGAGAAGCGTCTCAATATCAGGAAGTTTTTTTTTTGTGAAATCCAGCATTCCAAAGCAGTAAAATTGGATATAATTTCATCGGAGAACATAATTGCAGATAATGAGTCTATTTTCGCTCCTAGCTTAACAATTACAAATACGAAGCTATGGTATCATAGCTTCGTCTTTCTCTTCCATCGTCAATTTATATTTTGTTTTAGTTACATTTAAATTTAATATATGCAATTGAATGGTAGAGTATAACTGCCTGTTTGTAGCGTTTCTGATAAAGTGGTATTTGAGACAGCGATAATTCCAAGTTTTCCTCAAAGGCACTTCCTAATTCCTTCTACATTTTTACAGCATTAGATAGAGAAGCACTTCTTCTTTACAATTTTTCAAGTCCCACGGATATTGGCTTTAAGAAATTTAAGTAGTCTTCTGCAGATCGTTTGAGATCAATATTAGATATTTTTGGTATAATGGATCAACTTCAGAGTCTAAATCTTTTCATCGGCTTACATATTCAGCTCTAGCCAGGTGATTGTTTCTAAAATGTTTCCAAATTTGGAAGACATGCTCCCTGATTTTGGTTACTTCAAGGTCGTTGCAAAACAAATTTAAAAGGTGAGCTGAGCAGCCATAACTACAGATGTTTCTAAGTGTCTTTTTCTCAGACCAGCTTTTTCACTATTATGACAGATTTCCGTATCTCCAAATGCCAAGCTTTTCATCACCGCAACTCTATTATAGTTTGAGAATTGATGGATTATATGAAGCTGAAACTACATTTGTTAAGCCCATGAGAATGGTTAAAGGCCTCTATTGAAATTGTTCACTCAGCAAAAATTAATTCACCAATAGAATTGTGTATAGAGCGTCTTATGCTGCTTTTACTGAGGTTTCGAGGATGTCTAGATCTTTTTAAACTTGCTGTTGATGAAGTTCTGGATGGGTCTAGATATCGTTTGTTAATATTACCTGTTACATTTTGCTTTTATATGTGAAAGGATTAATTTTTTAATTCATCCAGATTTCTGTTTCGCTAGTATATTAACTAAATTTTGAATAATCTATCAGAATCGAATCCATTTCCCAATCGTTGCTTTTAAAGTTCCCAATTGTAGACATAATTGTGTTGTTAATAGTGGATATAGCAGTTGTTACAGTTACGAAGAAGCATCTCTCACCTTTAATTTCAACTTTTATTGCAATGTTATACTGTTGTAATCTAATTTATATGATGAATAAAATCATATCTGCAATCAATTGTGAGGAACCTTTATGGCCAACAATGAAGAAAGGTTGTAGGTCTTTGATTGTTAAATTCAGGACAAGGTTATCATAAATTATCTTGTCACATACCCAATAGTCGTTCAATCACAATTCATTATTGTTGCTTATATTTTTGAGCAGCTTTCTGATAGTTGTCATCAAGATAATTGATCTTGGGGGCAGGAACTTGAAAATTTTGAAATTCTATGAGGAATTGTACTGTTCGAATCACTCTTAATGGCTTTTCTGTTTTTTTTTGTGGTATTGAAGTTAACATAAAAACGAAACTTATAGATGAAATATGTAAGTAAATTTGTTTGAAATCATTTCACAAATTTACAACACATTTTCAATATATAATCATTATAAATGCACAAATATGTAACACAACAATAAGAGGCGTAATGCCAACATACTAACACATAATTATAAATTGTCGAGGTCAACTTGCATTACCTATATACATATATAACATATTTCATGTATCTTTACCGTAGATGGTACTCCTTCGTTTGATCATCGAGTAATATGATATAAAAATGACTGTATTTTTTATTCGCTATAATAATATAGATTTTATTTAAAATAATACGGATATTTTTAGTAATATTTTATATGATATATTTTAAATAACTCCCCAACATTTAAACTACCCAGTAAAAACATTAACTCGTAATGGTCGATGTAGAGGTTTCATTAACTGGGTTGAAAATACTTGTTTGAAATGTCACTGCTGTTATTTATGACATAATTTTCTATGCTCTAGTCTAGAGAACGACGGAAACAACAATTTTGGTAATACTTCAGCTGATCTTAATTCACCTTAGCTTTCGAAATCTTCTTTCTATATGATTTTGACATTAAATCTAAAAAAATAGCATGTAATAATAGATAGCAAGTGTAGGTACAGAATATGTTGGCACTTGATATGCCTTATATTTATGTTGTGAACATCTGAACAAAAAGTAAGTTTCTTAAGTAAATTTAGTAATTAAATCTTTATGGTAGAGGCTGAATGTGCGTGATATACTCTCAGAGTGTGCATACTGTTGTTTTCAGTCCACCAACATGCGACCTAAGGATGTGACCTCAGTGTCATTTCAGTTACTTACAAAATGGTAATGTTTGTAAAAATGTTTGTAACAAAATGTTGGTTGGTACTCCTAAAATCAGCATTCAGACGGGCACCATATCGATTGAGAGTAAAAAGAAAGTTGGTGATATGCACATTTCAATTAGTTAAGCGAGATAATTGGACTTCTTTGAAATAGTTTTGACATAGTTTTTTTGTGTAGTGGTTTATAATGCCTCTCCAACCTTTCAAGCAAAAATTCTTTCTCCCAAGTATTTCTATAATAATGATAAGTTTTACTTTTATTGTTCTTAATACACAATACAATACCAAGTAGAAAGACATTTGAAATACCATTATGATCACTTTGTATAATAAACTAAACATGAACCTTGGAAATTTACTTAATCTATTTTCGCTTTCATTTGAGCACTAGAAACTTAGAGAAATTACAGTTAAGCAGTGTTTATTAGCCATGTCAATCAACGCCTGTTAAATAAATGATGATCATTTATATTATTATTGATGAATATTTATGGGTACATGATAAATATTCGAAAGAGTAGGCCCAAGTATAGCACTTTGACGGTCAGTGTTGAATATGACAGTCACAATCTGTATAAATAACTTATATGCTGACTCCAGTTATCCAAAATGGCACAGCATTATGAGAAACTAGTATTGCAGGATCAAACCCCTTTAAAAAGTAGAAACCACTACAGTGGTTAAACCGTTGTCAATTTCACGGAAAACATCGATGGTATCCAAGAGAGCTGTTGTGTATATTCAGGGCGGAAGCCTGGCTGAAAATTACTGTAGGTAGTTAAATGTTGCCATAGAGCAGTGGATAATTAGGCTTCTTTCTATAACTTTAGAGATAATCTGACAACAGCCGATCAGTGTAGTAAAATTGCATCAATCAAGTTGATTTTGATACGACAAAAAGGATTCATTGATATCATTAGCTCTCCCCACATCAATAAAATACATTTCATTCTAATATTACAAACACTAAGCGATTTTTCAGACACTTAAAGGCTGTGGCTTTTATTACCAAACATAAATAAAGGATATTCTTTTCATTGACGTAGAATTGCAAAGTTCAAGTTCCAGATATCTCTTACCGATTTGGATTATCCAAAAATCTGGATATCTTGAATGCTTTACGTATTCTAGCCACAAAATTTCCTTACTTTCTAACGTAGAATAGTTTTTGTTTCGTATCGGTTTCTTCAAATCAAGGCAACTGATAATTAAAATTTTTTAAAAGTTGAAGTTTCTAGTTTCTGCAAAAACCATTAATTTTAGATTTACATTCCTATACATATAATATTATGTAATGACAAAGTCGTAAAAGTTTTTCGATTTTTGTAGATTTAAAAATTGAGCCAACTCAACCTTAATTTATACTATAAAATTTATAAACGAATCGTTTTTTTAATATCGTAACAAATACGTTTATTAAGAGAATGTGTTTTGTCTGTTAAACATATATGTACTCGAGATAAAATCTTATCAATCCGAGTAAATAATAATTGTTTACCATCTGTACTTTATTTTATTATTATTTTTTAACCGACAAATTTCAAACGACTTTTAAATTTGTTTTATTTTACATCTTCTGTTTTATTTATATTCTGTTTTTGTATACCCTTTATTTACACCAACGTTTTCTCCAATTCACATTTAAAACTTTAGAACTTGCCTTAATTGACCTCTATAGAGGTAACAAATGCGAAGGTAGCTTCCGTTGACCCGTATGCATGATGAATATGTATTGATGATTAACCAAACGCAGCTGCTTTGACAGCGTTTACGTTATTCCCAAGACAATATTTTAAATGGGCTGAAAAATAATTTTTTTTTCTGTATTTCAGAATGTGGAAACATCGATTTACGACTCATCTTCAAACGAATGGAATTGGGAAACGGATGTTAAAAATCCTAATGAAGATATTATTTGTAACCTGAAGTATCAAATAACCGAGTTAGAAAATGAAAAGAAAGATTTAATTATTAGTTTGGAACAATTAGATTTAGATTGTCAACAAACTACGGAAAAAGTAATTAATTTAAAGGATGCTCTTCAAGTTGAATACAATAATTTGCAAGAAAAGTACGATATTTTGAATCAGGATTATAAAAAAATTAAAAATTCGAAAAATGATGATGAAAAAGAAGTTTTAAAAAAGAAAATTTTGGATTATGAGTCAAAAATTGAGAATTATCAAGCTGGTAGAATATCAGACCAAGAAGAATATGATAAATTAGCGAAAATTTTGCAAGGATATGAAGATCATGTAAAAATGTATAAAGAGAAATGTATCAAACTTGAAAGTGAAATTAATATGTCTAAAGTTAATTCAAATGATACAAATAACGATGTTGATTTGTCATTACTTTTAAATGATACATTCAAAAAGTTTATGGATTATCCATTACCTGTGGAAACAAATACTTTTACGTCAACAGTTGAAGAAATAATGAAGCACTTATTAGAATACAAATATAAAACTGATACTTTAGAAAAACAAGTTTCAAGTCTTTTAGATGAAAAAAGTAGTATTTTGAAAGAAAAGAATGAAGAAATCGAAAAATTATTAAATAATTCTGAATTACTTAGCCAAGAAATTATTTATAAAAATGATGCTTTAAAGCATTACGAAGAAGAACGCCGAGAATTAATAAAAAACAATGATATTCTTATTTCGGAATTAGATGATATTAGAAATAATTCAGGACTTCATACAATTTCAGAAACCAATGAAGATAATCTAATTATTTTGGAGAATCAATTAGAAATGTCCCATTCAAAAAATGAAGAGTTAGAAAAAGAATTAAACGAAAATAAGAAGCAATTAAATATTGTTAAAAATGATTATGAAACTCTTTTTAGCGATTATGAAAAAATTAAAGATGTTAATTTAAGCGATGAAGGCAAATTTAGTGAAATCAACATGGAAACATTAAAAGAAGAAATAGAAAATTTACAAATTCAAATTGATACATTAATTAAGAAAAATAAAAAATATGAGCACGATAATTTAAAATATCAAGGAGAAATTGAAATAGGACAAACCGAAATTGAAGATTTAAAACAAACTTTATCAGTTGAATTAGAAACCAGGGAAGGATTAGAAAATGAAATTCGATTTTTAAAAGAAAAATTGCAAAAAATTAAAATGTCAGAAACAACTTTAAAATTACAATATGATAGGGACTTACAAACTTTAAATGAAACTAATTTAAAGCTAGAAGAAGTGACTAAATCTTATAATGAAGTACAAGAAATTGTGGAAAAGTTAAATTTTGAACGAGCTGAGTTTAATATACATAATAAAATGTTGGAAGAAGAACATGTAAAGTTAACACAACAATTAAAAGAAGAAATTAAATATCTTAAAGAGTTAATAGATAAGAATGAATGCGAAAATGAAAAGAATATTTTTGAAAATCATGAGGTTTTAGAGAAACTTAAGTTTGAATATGAAGAATTAAAGATTGATTATAAAACTTTAAAAGATGAAAATGAGAAGTTTAAAACTCTAAGTATAAATGATTGCGATGAATTAAAAGAAAAACTTTTAAATTATCAAGCATCGACCGATTTAATTAAAAATGAAAATGAAAAAATAAATTTTGAATTTTCTGAATTAAATGAGAAACATAAAAATTTAGAAGATGAATATAAAAAGATGCAGGATGAGATTACGTCAAAAAATGAGATTATAACAAAATATCAAAATGATATTGAGAAGTTAAAAGAAGAAAACCGAACGTTGTTGGTTTCAAATAACCAAAATAAGGAAAAATTGGGTGAAGCTGAAAAAATTAATTTAGAATTTACTTCATTAAACGAAGAATACAAAAGCTTAAAAGAAATATGTGAAAATTTAAAAATGCAACTACAAAATACTGAAACGAAAAATGCAAAACTTGAAATTGAAGAAAATTTATTAGATAACATCAAAAAAGAAGCTGAAACTAAAATATCAAACCTTCAAGAAGAACTTAATGTAACTAAAACAAATTATACCGAAAAAATAAAAATATTAGAAACAACTTTATCTGAATTAATTGAAAATAATAATAATTTAAGAACAAGTTTAACTGCAAAACACGAAGAAAGTCATCAATATTACATAGAAATACAAAGACTAAATCAAATATTATCTGTAGAAGTAGAAAAAACTAAAAAATTAAGCGAAGAAATTAAAAAACCTACTGAAATATCACAAAATCAAGAATTATTAATTAAAATTAATACTTTAACTGAAGAAATTGAGAAGTTATCCGAACAGAATTCATTTTTAAAAAGTAAATGTGATGTTTTAGGACAAACTCTATTAGAAGAACAACAAAATTCGAAAAAAATAATTGATGAGCTCTCTAATAGTACGTCGGAAAAAGAAATTTCTTTAAGTAAAGAACTTCAAAGACTTCGCGCGCATTTATTGGAAATTGAAGATCAACACATGCAAGAAATTATGTTGGCGGATAAAAAAGCTACTGAAATGCAGACTAAAATGATGATTTTGGAGCAAAGGGAAAAACAAGCTACTTCATTGCACACTTCGGTTAATATTCGCACGAATCAACATGTTGAAACACTCCAAAATCAGCTCCAATTGGTTACTAATCAAAGGGATGAGTTGAGAAAAAAAGTATCGGATGCTGAGGATACTATTAATAAGCAATCTGCTGGATTGGCTAATTTAGAATTTGTTTTACGACAATTTCAAGATGGTAAATTATATTTTATTTTATATACGTATTTTGACTAAATCAAATTTTTTTAATGACTCCTTATGTGGTTATTTGTCGAATTTGAGAGTTAATCACATTGATTTTCGTAGATAAAGAAAAAGGTGTACAATTAGAAACAGAAAGAATACGTAGACAGATAATGGTAGAAAAAAATGTTCAAGAAAACTTAAAAAAAGAATTAACATGTCTAAAAAATCAACTGGACGAAAGTAAACAAGGTCTTTTAGCCGCTTCAAGACTCAGCGACCAAATGGAAACGTCTAAACATCAAATTGTAGTTTTAAAAGAAGAAAGTAAGTAAATTAACAATTTTTTTGGAATGTTGCTAACCACGTGTTACAATATGAGTTCGTTAAATAGCACTTTATCATTGCATTATTTAATGGAAACATATTTTACTTATTATTTCATTTATTGTGCATCCAATTTAATAAGAAAAATCATCGGCTTTTACTAAGAAGTTTTGTTTTTGTTGGGGGAATGTGTCTGAATGTGAAATATCAACTGGTAATTCTGGTTTGAATATTGGCTACCAGAGTATCAGCTGGTATTGGCACGCTCGGCCACAAAATGCCACATCCACTCATAGCCGGTCATTATTAAAAAAAATTGAAGAAAATAATCCAATCTTTATGTTGTATCCATTTGTCAAGCTTATTTATATTTTATTTTTTATTACCAGGCACCGCATCTGCACTAACTGTATTTTTCTAATCTCATATAGTAGCTGTGATGTGTCATTAACCTCAAGTTACTACATGAGATATTGAAAACTTGCAGTACTTTTTCACGTCACGTATTTCTTCTAATTTTTTATTTTATTTTCATTTTAGTGTTTATGTAGTTTTTATCGTATATTTACCGCTTTTGCATATTTGGCTTTGTAGTGGATGTGAATATATATTTTTTTGCAATTACTTTAAGGTATTTACGTGATAATTTTGATTAATATAATTTAATGGTTTTTATTTTTGTCAAAGCCGTTAAATTTATCTTTGACTAATTGATTGCTTTTGGGTGAGGCGATTAAATCAATGTTTTGACATTTCACAGTTTTATAAATTATTATTATTTACAAGTTACAGTTTTATAAAAAAACGCCTTCACACATTGACAGATGTTGTTATTGGTGTTTGATGACAATCGTTTCCTAAATGGTTTAATTTTTAGCATAAAGTGAGGCTTAACTGCCAAGCGTTTTGAATTGCCATATAACTATACAATGGGTGATCAGATAAGAGTGCCATTTCTTTAGTCAGAATTTTTTCTTTTGTTCGATGTTCGAGGGACTGATTATCAGAAGCAATCAACTTCTGATAATGCCATCCATGTTTTCATTGCACAAATTATCATGTACCCTTGCAGAACTAGTACTGATTTCTTTTGTGAACTCTTTTTACCATCCGAAGAACATTAACATTAACAGCTTTTGAGGTTGTAGAAACCACATTGTTATCATTCCAAGAAATGATTGTTTGATTTTTATCTAAATCGGTTCTAAAGTCGTGAGTACCAAGCGCGGTCTTTCTCATTTTGTTGGCCCATTTGGATGGATTGATTGTCTAATTGCTGTTTATAGTATTTGTGCTCCAAATACTCTTTATACTAGCACCTACACCGTAATTGTTTTTTGATGGTAAAGTTTGCAAATGCAGCCAAATCATATCTTAGCCATGGTGTCTATGTGGGACACTAAGACCCACTTTTACCACCTCTTGATAAATTTATCCCATGGGTAAATTCAGATTTTTAACCAATGAGTATAACTATCAATAACTATCTCCTAGATAATGGTAATTGTCCCCTAGATAGTTTATCAAGAGGATGGTAAAAGTAGGCATAAGTATTGCAAATTTACCACTGACATAAATTTTTTTTATCACATGTAAGCTTTTATTATGTAATAAAATATATATCTTTAGGAAGATCCAAAACATTTTTCTTCTAACTAACTCAATGTAGGGATCTCAACGAAACATTTGAGTGACTTTCATTTTTCATAGTCACATAATAATTTGATTCTGCAACTAAGAAATCAAACATAATTTTATTGAAGAGTTTCAAAAATAATAATATCCTTGGTCTTCTCTTGTGGCACATTGGAATTGGGTGCGGCACTTTGCAGCAATGTGCAAATCACTCCAGTTATAAAATTTAGAACTAAATTAATGGAATATCTTCCCAGTCCAAGACTTAAGTTGGAAGTTCTATGTCAGCATTTCTTCCACAATTCGAGGAAACTGTTGCATATACACAAAAATAGTCAGGTTTGTTAAGAACATATTACAATGTTAGGAACATGTGGGTGAAGAATTAATTTAAAGGTGCTAATTTATATGCGGAAAAATTCTGTTCATAAAAACAGTGCATGGGAAATAACTAACTTTACGAGAGCAATTCCGCATCCTGTATTCTCATAAAGCGTTCCGTGTGATGACCGTTAAAGTGTATCTCAATATTTATAGGACATTCTTCTATATGTTTGACTCGTCTAACACTTCAAAGACTCATCTAACGTTTCGAATGTCCTAGAGCAGGGATTCTAAAGCTGTGGTACCCGTATCACTGGTGGTACTTGGCTGCTGTCGTGATGGTACGCGATTTTATTACATTTAATTGCATAAACATATTCCCAACGATTTCTCATAAACGTAACAGGTTTGGCACGAATATCTCAATAATTTTTATTATAAGGAAATATATATTCTGTTGAAACATTGTTGTAACTCAGTTGATATTATCGAAACTTTTTCTAATTCATCTTGTATTTATTTTCACTATGACCAGTTTAACCACCATTCAATGATTCACTAATTACTACGTCGCGTCAAAACTGTTTGTTTAAAAGTTAAACTTTGTCTGGAATTAAGATTCGTTGTAGCATTTGGTATTGAAGTCTTTATATTATTATTTTGCAAACCTTTTTTGAGAGCAGGACGCCGTTTGTAGCCAATTTCTCCCCATAATCTTCTTAATGTCATCCAGCAATCTCCGTTGCAGTTTTTCCACACTTCGATTTATTATCCTGGGCCTTCCATGGATGATCTTTTTCGGCCATCTTATGCTGTTCTTGTCTTATGCTGTTCTTGTCTTATGCTGTTCTTGTCTTATGCTGTTCTTGTATTGTCACATCAGGCCAGCAATCCACACCACTGCGTTTGTGATCTTAGTGCGCATTCTATCTCTGAGACTGATTCCCAGCTCCATTTCTCTTTGGTTTATCCTTAACTTATTGGCACATTTTTCCGTGAGCGCGGTGGTTTCCAGACCACATGTTGTTACCGGTAGTACGCAAAATTCGAACGTTTTCCGTTTCAGGTTAATAGGCATAGCTGGCGTTTTGAGGTCAACTCTATTCTTCTTATTACTTCGGTTATCTGTTTTTTTTTGCCCAGTTTGATATCGTGACCAAGGTAGCTGTAGTATGCTATAACTTCTATAATATGATTTTCGATCGAAAACTGGGGAGTGTACGGACTCAAGATCTTTGCATTTGAAGGTTCATCCTTTTAGACCCATCTCTGCTGATACTTTATAGAGCTGCCCCAGTATATTTTTGAACTTCTCTATCAGTACGATGTCGTGAATTTCAGGTAATTTAGGTAAGTGCCCTCGATATTGATACCTTTCTTTTCACAAGGTATTTTCTAGAAGATGTCCTCCAGTGCCAACTTGAATAGTTTGGGTGATATCGTGTCTTTCTGTCGAACACCTCTCTGAACTGGGATTTTCTCCGTCAGCATGTCCTCATCCCGTTTGACCTGTAATGTTGAATTGGTCCATTGCTTCTAGTATTGCCTACATCTTGACGGACACGAACGCCTTTTGATAATCTTAATATTAAGCGTATTATTGTTTATAATTTACATTTTCACAATTTTCATCTTGAAAATCTATGAACGCCAAGTGTAGGGTGGTAATCTACTCTGTTGTCTTCTCGATTGGCATATGCGTGACTTGGAGGTAGTTTATCGTGCTATAGGTTTTTCTAAAGCCCCTTTGTTCGACTTGTTGATAGAATTTGTTGGTTGAGCGGTCTGTAATTATTCTTGTTAACAATTTGTAGAAGATTGATAGTAGGCTGATTGATCTGTAATTTTGCTCACTCGCGCAGTTGCCGTTTTTGAACAGCAGAATACCTTCTACATTCCTCCACGTCGTTGGAATCATCTGTTCCTGCAGGCATCTGTTCAAGAGGAGCATAAGGATGCCTCTTTTAGTGGATTCTTTCCCATGTTGAGCATTTCATCTGTCACTGTCTTCTACAGATGCTTTTCTGTTCCTCATCCTTCTTAAAGCAGCTCGCAGTTCATCACTATCAATCTGTGGTATCTCTTCTGAGCCCACATTTACGATGTTCCTCCTCTTATCGTTTACTATATTGTTTGGCGCCGCGCTGTTTAATTTGCGGTAATAGTTCTCGACGATTTGCTTTGTGCCTAATTTTCGCGTTTAAAAGTCTTTGGTCGCTGCCAGTATTAAATCGGTTGAGGACTTTGATATCCGCACAAATCTCTTTGTTGTTGGTGAACTGCAATAAGATATAAGCCAATTTTTTTCCTTTGATTTAGGAAACATTTATACATCAGCTGTTTATATGGTATGGAAATAAACCTCATGGGCAGTTTTGTTATATCAATGAACATATGACACAAATTTTAAGAAATTTTGACTAAATTAATATTTTTATTCAAAACTACTCGGTTTATAAAGATTATTAATGACGAGATATCTTTTTATAATTTATATTTAATAATAATTCTTAATTTTCAGTATTTTTCTTTTTCGGAAGCATGTATTAGCATGAATCAGCATGAAAAGAAAGGTTACGTTGAGAGTATTACTTCAGGTACTGGTGTTGATTAAAATAATCAGTCCCTGAGTAAGACTTGCAATATAACACTTTCAATTGCATCCTTATTTATATCCACATATGGTTTTAATGGTTTTTAATTAATTCATTCATAAACTAATTTTTCGAATTCAGAATAATTTTGTGATTTCAGATGATAAACTACGAGAAAAATTAAGAAAAACCGAAGAAAATCAAAACGCATCTGGTAGCCAAGAGACGAAAGTGGATAAGATGTTGGTTAAAAATTTAGTTGTTGGGTTTATTACGTCAAATAATATTACTTTGAATAAAGACCAACATCAAATATTGAAAATAATCTCGACCGTTCTTGATTTTAATCAACAGGATAACGAAAAGGTTAAATTAAATAAAAATAATCAAGGTTCTTGGCTTGGCGCAATTTTACACCCAAATGTTTTATCTCAAAATCAAGGGATGTCTCAAGAATCGTTATCGCAAGCTTTCGTCCGATTTTTAGAAAACGAATCAACACCAAGACAACTACCAAAACTGCTCAATCCCGATTTACCACTAGAACAACCTGGTACACCACAACCTTTATTATTAAACGAAGTTGTTCTACCTACGTTTGCTGATTTTGGACAAAATAGAAATTCCAGCTCCATTCTTAAAGATGTATTAAAAGATAATAATTAGCATTTATGTATATGTATAATTGATGAAAGCCGCCCGCTTATATTATTAACTTCAGATTTTATTATAAATTTGAGTATGGTATATTTTGTAATTTAACTCTATGTAAATATTGTATTTAATAAATAATAAATCAATTCCAGATAATATATCGCTTGAAATTATTTTCACAAATACCAAAAAGTTTAAATTAATCACTTGTCAAATGTATGTCAAGCTGAAATGATTATACAACTTAATCAAAATTTAATACTTGTTAATAATGATGTTTATGTGGGTTCAAATCCTTGAACTTATAATTAATTCAATGTCGTCCAGTCCAAACTATAAGTTATATACTCAAAGTTTAGATTTAGCAAAAAGTGTTGATCAGTTTTCCAGAACTGCACTGGATTTTGAAGGAATTCCCAAAAGGATTACAAAGGATGAACAACTTATTAAGAAAGTACTCGAAAAGTGTGAAATGATTCATAAGGAAATGTTGCAAGCAATTTACGGAATCGATAAGAAAATAAAAAATATTCAAGAATCTATCTCATTTGATATAGAATTAAAATTGTTTAATAATCATCAGGTGAATCGATTCACAACGAAATTCGATAACTTTATAAATGGTACAAAACAAATTGACTATCTTTACACTCAATTTATGAAATTTTATAAAGATTCAACTCTATACAATTTAAAATCACGTCAGATATTTATCGATGCTTGTTTTAATTTAGAAGATGGTCTAAATTTCACATTATATTTTATGTCAAAAATGTTGGTTGAAGATGGAGGAGCATTTAACTTAATTACTGGGAATGTGATTAAATGTAGTAGAATTAGCGAAATTATTGTAAATATTTAACATTTTGTAGACGGTTGAACAACACATTTTAGCGACGCGAAGATTATCAACGTTGGAATATCTATATAATTTAGTTGCTTATTTCATTACGATTGAAATTAAAGCTGCGTTAACGATAACCGGTGCTAAAAGAATTGCAATTTTAACAGATTCAGGTGAATATGTTTATGATGAATATTATAGGGTCTCTGCTAACTTAATTCTTTCAATATAAACATATAATGTATGATTATCAACAAAGTTCTCTGTTACTACCCAATAATATCTCCCTGAATCACCAGTATGTTGTTTCATAAATGTTTTCGAAAGAATTTCGTTGATAGTTTATTTGGTTAGTATTAATATTATAATTTTTAATTGTTTTTTTAAGATAAGGATTATGAAGAGGATTATAACAATTATATGAAATTTGTACCGTTGAGAATCATTTCTGTAATTATTTCACTTTTAACATATGCTCCAAAATGTAGTGGGAGATACTGGGTTTATGATACCCATAAATATAGAATTGGTATGTAGTTTTTATAAATTAGTAATAATACATAACATTGATTTTTTAGGGCATAAGTACGTAGCTTTTAATAATTTTTTGAAAGGATTTTATTATCGCGATACATCCTGTTCGTATGCTGGTCAACCAATAAACTCTACTGGAAGTAACATCGAGTAAGTGTAATCTATTATTTTAATTACATTAAATTAACTGTTTTCTAAAACATCCTCTTTAAATTTTATAATGTGAAAAGAGTTGTGAGATAAGCATATTTCTCTCCAAGCACTTACATGTTATAGATCGCTCTGTAATTTGTTAGCTTGGCGTGTCTATTTTTCCAACTTATTTCAAAAGGCAAACGTATTTTGATGTAACTAGCCAAACATTTTCTAAACTGCTGCAAAACGGCAAAAGATCCAGACGTTTCCGCATTTTCTTGAAACTTCTAAATATGCAGATCTGTCTCTTATGTATAATAGTGCAGTATAGCAGCTTCTTCACCAATTATGGTATCAAAACGATGGCGGCCCTGCTCATTATTATTTACGTTTCGTTATTTACAATAACGAAATTGAAAACATAAATCAGTTGAAGCTTTTTTTCAGCATACCTACCCAATTCCTGTACTATATAAACTATATTGCATTTTATATAGGATAGTGCAAGTACATAGTAGTTTCGTAACAATGGCAGTAACCATAGTACTATCCATGTATTGCGAGATGTATGAAATGGTGGTATACTGGTCGTTCTCAGAAGGGCTAAAAAGGTGTCCCTCTAATATCAAATCTTATATACTGAGATAAGTACATTCATTCGAGCAAAAAGCTATATGGTGAGACTCATTAGTATTACTTCATTAAGTTACATTAAAGTAACAAATATTTTATGTACACAAAATTCAAAAATTTTTAAAAGTTGGTTCGCACTTCATTAAATATTCAGGTGTCCCTCTGGTAAAATTGCAACTAAAACTATTTCTAAATCGGAAATAAAATAGTATTATATCATTTTATTACTGTCTTTTTTATATGGGGTAATTAACAAATCGATTTGAAGATGGTTTGCAATTTCTTATACATTTTGGTTTTAAATTAATCTCGAAAATGTTGTGTCCCTCGTTTTAATCTCAACTCCGTTACCACATCTTCTAATATAAATATTCGTGTCGCCATGGTTACCCGGCTCATTGTTAACACTGCATAGGGAAGTTAATATTAGTATGACACTATAACTGTTAAAAAATATAAAATTGACACGCTGAATATATTCAAGATTTTGATTGATTTCTACAAATATTTTCTGGCTATTCGGTTTCTCAACTCCGTTACCTGTCGTGAAAGGTAAAGTTTAAGTGATTTCTTACTGTAATTACATTAAGTAAATTACTAAAAAATATACGAACACGGTATGCAACTATCAGCATAAAATCTAATTTAGTTTAATTTTGAATATTTTTGAAAGCGCGTTTTCTCAACTCCGTGAATTTCAACTCCGTTACTAATGTTAGGCAGTAGCATTTACAGCCACATTTAACAGTTACAACGCATTATGTACTGTAAATATTTTATTTTCAATGTATCCAACATTTAGTTAAAAGTTAAAGAAAAAGAAAACAGTGCTCAAATGTGATAATTTCCAAATTTATATGCACCATGTTTCTCTTGCTTTAGACGAGATCTAATTTTGAGTATAATTTCGATTTTACGTTTTATTATTCTTTTGTTCCAAAATGTGAAAACTAGAGGTAAGGTCTTAAGTGAGGCTGCGGTTACAACATCAAAGTAAAAGAAAATATGCAATTAAAAGAAGAGGGATGCTTTGAGAAAACTGAGAGCGCAACGAAAAAATGATCCTGAGGCTTATGAAATTGCTAAATTGAAGGAAAGAGAGCGGTATCATCGCAGAGTTAATTACGATAAAATAAAAAAGATATCAATGTTAACAGATCCAGATAAAAGACGTAAAAGGGAAGAATGGAGGGAACATAGTAAGAAACTTACCAAGCAAAAAAGGCAGCTAGAAAAACACCAAGTAGTTACAGAATTGATACAATCTATTCCGAGATACATATATGTTGCACCTCAGGAATATATCCCATCAGTATCGGTGTATAAATGTAGTGAAAAAGAATTTGTCTGTTGATAAAATCTTGATCCATATGGATTTTTCTAAAAATTACTTCTGTAAATATACTGAAAAAGTACAATCTGCACACTTTGGCTCTTTAAAGCATCAGATATCTTAGATATAACTGCGGCGTGGTAAAGTCTGTCAAGCAACCTTACCACACTTTTCATACCTTAGTTGTATATTAAAAGTATCCACACCAGATTACGATACTTTAGTAAAAGTCTTACAAAACTCAATAAAAGGGATCAAGATCTTTCGTATCGATGAAAAACTAATCCCTATGATCGACGAACTGATCCCAGAAAATATTCCTACGTTTAAAGGTACGATGAAAGTAGCCTGGATCAATAAACTAAGGAATAGACTTACTTTCAGAGAACTGACATGTCTGTGTTGTGAACCCGGCCAGCTTTGCTCACACTATAACTTGGATCTAAGGAGTATAGAACAGCTCTACGTTATAGCGTTGTATATACAGATTCATCATCATTGGATGATGATATGCCATTGAGTTTAGTACGCAATAAGTTGAGATGTTAGGAACAAAACTTGGAATTAAATTATTATTTGTCAACTCCGTTACCACTTCTCAACTCCGTTACCTCTAAACTTAACATTATTTTCATTATTTAATTATATTCTCAAAGTACAAAACTTTTGTTATACTAATATGTTTTCTTCGATAAATATATAACCTATAAAACTAATTATACGATTTTTTTTCTTATAAACCTTTTTTCCACCCTTGCTGAGAATGACCCATACACGTTTATAGTTTGGGGCAGAAGGGTTTTAAATTTGCATTGCTTATAGTGCTCAATAAATCATGTTTTGCCATGGTACAGTATCCCTATTACAAATAAAGGAGTCTGCAAGATTTCCATTTCAGTCATTGCTGTATTGATGTAGTGCCAGCACTGTACATGATGGTTGAACAATCGAGTCTACTTTATTCAAACATGCTGATATGACCCTCTCGCATATCCGACAGTATGATACTATTACTGCAAAAGCATGTTTTTCGAATAACATCCCTATTCTTGGATAAGGTTTTGATAAATTTGATTGTAGTGGAAAAGCATCGTCAGCTCATTCAATGATGACTGGCTAAAAATTGATGCATCATTCCTACGGCCATTTGCTCCAATGTATATCAACTTCAGTGAAGAAGATTAAGCTATATATTTCTTTTGTATTTGAAAAATTATTAAGCTTCGTGTGTAGGGTTGAGAATTAATATGTGCTTTCCCGATTAAAACCTGAAGTACCTTGTATAACGCTGATCATTTGATTACTCCACGAGTAATGCGATATATCAACCTGAGACCCATGAGAAGAAAAGCACATGAAGTGAACGGAAGTGAATAACAGTTAGCAAATCAGCTATGGCAGCTGAATAGAATCATTAAACTCATCCTCGAATAATTTGAGTTGTCTGACTCTTCTCAATGACGCTAGAATCTCGTAGTTTTACTGAAGAATCAATGAATAGCTGTCGCTAGTAGCTAAAAGAAGTATTAGTAACTTAAGTAATGCTGAAAGAACAACTTTTTCTAGGAGTTGGTCAATTAACTCATGAAAATTTGTAAATATAATTTTGTAACATTACATATTTTATCTGTTACAGCCGTAGTGAATGTGAAGTGGAAAATTTTAATTCATGTAATGGAACTCTTCATTGTTTACCAAATTCAGAAACTTCATCTTCTGTAGATATATGTTATAATGTACGTAAACGGTTTTTTTAATGGAAATATGTTTTAATTTATGTGAGTTTTAGGCCGAGGGTAAAAATAGCAATTACGAATACGTGGTGTTAAATAAAACTGGTACGAAAGATTGCAGTAGTACAAAAATATCTTACAAACCCAACACAAAATGTATTGATTGTTTCTGCTATTGCGAAGAGTCTGAAGTAAATGCTCACATATATTTCAGTTTAGACGAAATGGTGTCTGACATTGAAAATAATAGGTAGTAATAGTAATCGATAATAAAATGTTTGTTGAAATACCTTCTTTTGTATTTTGCAGAATTATTACTGGAATACGTTTTGGTAAATACAACGGAACAGTTACAATGGATATTCAAGTTACTAAGCTACAATTTGATGGTTCATTAATGGAAAGCTCAAGTGTTTGGGTAATTAACAAAGCTATTCGAAAATTTCGATTTAAATATTTAAAAAAACAAGAAATTCAGTTAGGCGAAGTTAAAGCGGATAATTATAAAGTAGTAACTGGTAGGTATTATACAAATACTTAAATTTGGTAAAAAAATACTACAAAAGATATTTCAAATACTAAGGCAGTTGAATCAATTCACCTTGTCTAAGGAATACTGTACTACTTTAAATTTTGGCATAATAGCTTTCAGAGAGTAAACTTTAGCAACACTTCTGCAATGTGCAAACTCATACATATTTACAATTTGCGACGAAAGCAATTATATTTTCGGTTAGCACAGTTTTCGGCATTGTGGCAGCGTTAAACTGCCACAATTTTTGCTGCATTGCGGGATAGTAGTTTTCAAACTTTTGAGATTAAATAAAGTAAACGTATAAAGTTGCGAAACATGTACAGCTCTGTTCAGATTTAAGGCGAATCGGCCGCTGTTAGCTCCGACATGACGCTGGTACTGGAAGAAGACGGAAACATCGTTTGTTTCTATTCAATTCGATTTGAGACTAAAGGAAGAGGGTAAAGCCCAGGTAAAACCGTTCCAGTTTGAAGTGGGCCGAAGAATGGATCACCCTTTTTTTAAATGTGTTAATTTTATTTTATTTTAAATTTTTTTTGATATTTTTAAGCACAACAAATACATGATTTTTTATATGTTCCTGTAATAAATGATTTTAGAGTATTTCTATAAATAAAACGTCAGATAAAATTCATTCATGACCGGGTAGCTGTAAAAAAACCCCTAATTACGGAGCAATTGGCTACAACACGGTTACGATTTGCCCGTGAATACCTTGAGTATAATTGGGAACCAGTCATCTTCACAAACGAAAAATCTTCTGTTCGTCGGACGACCATAACAAATTGCTATGGCGAAGGGATGGAACCCTGTATGATGCTAATCATGTTCAACCCAATACAAGAAGTGAAATTAAAGGAAGATTTAATACATTTGAGTGCTGGAGGATGTTTTGATACCACCAGTAAGAACCTGTATCCAGAAGGGATCATCACGATAGTCCAAGACAATTCGCCCGTGCATTCTTCAAGAATTGTTCATGATTGGTTTGACGATCATAATGAGGTTAGGCGAATACCCTAGCCAGCGTGGTCACCGGATTTAAACCCATTCGAAAATCTATGGGCTTTGGTGGAAAAACAGTTCAATAAAAATGCCAACTCCTTTTCGCAACGTGGATAATCTGCGCCGCAACATTACAGTTGTGTGGGAATTGTTTCGCGGCAAGGATGTATGCGAAAAATTAGTAAATTCGATGTCCACCAGATGGCAATGTTGCATAGAGAATAATGGGTATTATACAAAATACTGATATTTGATGGTATAATGGACCGTATGAAATTCTCCCCAATTAGATTATTATAATATTTATTATATTTTATATGTATAATAATATATTATATTTTTTGTTATACAAAAAAATAGGAGTGTTATATTTTATTATATTGATTTTTGCTTGTTTGATTTTATTACATTAAAATGGTTTGCGATATATTTCAATATCTGTATAGTTTATATATAACTTATTATCAATATATCATTTTCATTTCTTTTGAGGTTCGACGTATCCTTCCACTGTATTACCAAAGTAATACAGTAATTATTAGTAATTATTTTCATTTACTACAGGAATAATGTAAAGTAAATGAATTGCTTATACCTATTTATTTTCTTAATTTGTCTTTGTGATTCAGTCATCTTGGCCATAAATCACACCACCCCGCAGGTAAAACCGAATTGAATGCCTCGTGAACGTAGGTCGTTTCTAGTACAATTTTATGCCTCTACGAGCGGCTCTTTTCGCATTATATCTGAACAGAACTGTACATAGCTGTAAAGTTGTACTTTAAAGTATTGATAGTTTTACGAATAAGTGGCGAGATGTATTCCAGAGGTCATTAATATTGAATTTAATAAAGAAACCTGACAAACGCAAAACTGATTCTGAACTTTTATCGCATGATATTTAGGAAAACGAAGAAAAGATATGTAAGAATAAGAAAAGAATGAGTACAATGTAACTTTATGTAACTGTATGTGAGCTAGATAGAGAAAAAACAAAGTACTGTTTCTACTGTATTCAATCCCATAAACTAAGTCCTATCCGACTTGTAACCCAAGGACAAGAACACACTGAATTATAGACGCTTTCGTTATGTCAAGTGTTATGGCAGCAACTCTTAATTCTGTATTCTGAAGGGATACAAAGTAATTGGCATCTCCACTGCGACATTGGTTGAAAAAAATAGAAAGAAATTTAAACATTAATATTTTTTAAACATTTTTGTGGAACTCATGATGGAATTATGTGCCTGTAATGCGAGATCGAACATTTGTGGCCAGGTTCTAAGGAAACAAATCGTTGATGATGTAAAGAAATGTTGCAGTTTTTCTATTTTGCCGATGAAACCTCTGATATTATGAAAAGAGCAGTTGTCCTACGTCGGTACATTAACATCTCGGTTCATACATGATCGTATAGTGAATCAAATATAAATTCTGAAGATTTAGGATTCTGAACCATCAAAGCTTGGCGCTGAAGTGATAAACATCGCAATGTATTCAAGTTCATTATTTTTATGCAAATATCGGCAAAACATAAAGCTATTCCTTTCTTTTACGAAAACTATACTAAGGTATACAAAGTCCTTAAAGATTTTGCTACGCATCCAGAGTGTAGCACATTTGAAAGAACGAAATCTTGTCAGCTATATTTGATAGCCGGCTAGCTATATCAGAAATTTTCTTGGCATTACCATTGAAACACTTTTTAAAAACTGCAGAATGAGTAATTTTGCAATGATACCTTAGATAGCGTTTTCTGATAAGTAAAAATAATAAATATTAAAAAAGTCAACAATTTTCTACTTTAATTTTTGTAATTCATTCCTTCTTTCGACGCCCATAGCTCCGCCCAATCAATTTATTACAAAATTGACGTTTCAAAATGGGCGATCAATCGCGTTGAAAAAACATTTTGCACGGTGTTGTAAAGAAATGTTTTGAAAGAGACCTGGCAAAGTGTTCTTTCAAAAATTACTGTTTCGCCATTCAGTATTCTTGGCAGAAACATTTACAGACCAACGACTTTGCCGATTCCAGCGACATATAAAATGAGGTTCCTCATAATGCAAGTAATGACCGTTGCGCTTCATCGGTAAATAAAACATTATGGGAAACTTCCGAATTGTGATGAATTTCGTGTAAAGCCAATGTGTAGAATTGCACTATCCGTAGATCATGTCCGGAATGCAGCATTTGAGCAGTAATAGGTGGTATGGATTATGTGTGACGCCTATTTCTTGACAAAAACGTGTACTGGTACTAGGATTATTCATAAGTGGAAGTGTTAGGTAAGCGTTAAAGTTGTGAATTTGTGCTATTGGCCTCTGCTGCTGTGGTAAACTAAAAAAATTTTAATTACTGATAACTTCAGCTGTTTTCACTTCTGGATTTGAAATAAAAGTAACACAATACAATTTTTGTGCAATAATCGAAGGCTTTTGAATTAATCTGGGATGAGTGATTTTCTAAATGTATGTTTCAACAAAGTGTTGAAGAAAAATAATAAAACCTTTGTCTTCCATCCATCCTAAAGGATTTTCTATTGTCGTCCACTGTACCTCCCAGCGTTTTAGAGGTAATCACGTTGTTTCAACAGTACCCTGTTATAATCCTACGCAGTATACAGGAGTTAGGCAGTCTAAGGACTATGAATTGTAGATATGAATCATTGACTGTGTGCACAGTGCTTAACTATATAAGTTTGGATCATAGCAAACACGGACCTTCGCCATCTACAATCTGTCTATTATTGAATAAGTATAATCTATTTGAAGTATAAGCGCTTGTATGCCCTTTGTCGAAGGATGCTTGATGTGTGGAGAAAGCAGCAGCCAATAATTTTGCATAGGGTATAATCCCTTGAAAGGTTGGGGTTGTCAGCAGAGCAGACTTCTACTCGTTTTACTTTTCGAAGTAACTTATGAAAGGGAAAGCCTCCATCCAAGTCTCCAATAGAGGAAGTACTGGGAAAAGAAATTCTATCTTCCTAGGTAAAATGGCTAAGTACATTGCTTTGAACATAACATTATAAAAACAATATAAGCACTGAAGTTGGAGAAAAAGAACTGATATAGTAATGTTTGTTTATAAAACAAAATGTGTTAATCTTACTTATTTTGCTCATATAAAAATATTTATATGTTGTTGTATTTATTTTTATAGATTTAAATTTTAGGTATACGATTTGAAGAGGTTAGCGATGGAGTACAATTACAAGTGAAAGTAAATGATCTGCTAAAATGTTCAAAAGGAAAAATACTATTATCGACAACATCTTCCTGGATAAAGCCAAATTTAGGAATGAAAGCAAACGCTAACCTTGACCTGGCATTAGATAATCCAAGTCGAGGTGAAAAGAAACACCCAGCTTCTATACACAATTTTACTAAAGAGCGAATTAAAATTTCATTAACGAGTTTTGAAGACGATGGAGCCCAAACGGTCATTCCATTTTTTGATACTCGTGAAGTTATACTTCCGCACCCCCTACCTTTGCGTGGAATTGGTTTAGTTTATAAGACATCAGGAGAAATGTGTGGAGGATTTGTAGCACCATACATTATCTTGGCTGATTTATCAACAGAAATTGATTCAAAATCTTTATTTTTTTTGCAATCACGATTATCAAGTGGACCTAAAAATACTCAATTTGATTACGTTTTGATAATAATTTTGATATTAATCAGATTGTTAACTCATTTAATTAATTATTAGTAAAATTAATCAATGTTGCCTATTTATATCAATATAGGTATTTGTACTATGTTATTATCTATCCAATCTAGGAAACAAATAACGTAATTCAAATAATGAACACTACAAAGTGTACCATCAATCACTTGTCAATGTAATTTTCAATTTGTAGAAAACGACAAAAAAATTCTTTTATTAATTTGTGTGCGTTTGATTGTAATATTGAAAATGTTATATTGCGCATTTAATTTGTTTTCAATTATTATATTAATGTTTCAATATTCAAATGCTTGTATAACTGTATCCCATGATGAGATTTACAAAAAGCTGAAAACTGTAGCAAGTACATTAAACGATTTAAATTCTACAGTTGATAACTACTACGATAAATTAAAAGATGTAAGTGATATAATCAAAAAGGTTATAAGGAATTTTACGAAAAAAATGAAAAGGGATATGTACGGAGAAGTTAGTCTTGAAATAACAAAAAATCGAAAAATTATTGAAAATGTGGTTGAAACGATTGAAAATAATCATCAAAAAGCGTTACAAGAACTCGCCGGAGTAAATAAAGAAGTAAAATCTATAGGTGAAGTCGCAGACATTGACAAAAACCAAATTATTATGAATAGGACACGTGTAAATGAATTTGTTGGAGAATTAAAAGGTTTCACGGATTTTGGTAAAAGTATCGAACGGATGTATGTTATGTTTTTGAATATCTACGGAGATCCAAGTCTAGTCGAAGATAGAAATATATATGAGTTTATTGATTATTGTTTAGGAAATGACGATTTTAATATGGGACCAGTCCTAAATAATATGCTAAATAATTTAATAGACGAACATGGCGTTTTTAATTTAATGAAACGAGAAGTAAAGATTAATAAAATTGTTATCTAACATTTGTAAATTGTTTATTTCTTCTAGTTGGTGGAAAAATATGTTGTAGCTTCACGACGAAAATCAACATTAGAATATCTAAGTAACTTAGCTCTTTATATGGCAGTTTCAGAAGTCAGATGTTCAATGATGGCTACTAATGCTAAAGGATTGATAAGATTCTTACGACCAGGTATAAACAAATTATAGATTTTAAATGTGTTAATGTTGAGTTTTAAAATGTTGCTTCTAGGTACTTTATATAATTCGCAATTGAACTCGTATATGAAGAAAATGACGGAGAGACTGAATTTATTAGCTCTATCAGTACAAATACATGCTCGACAGTATAGCGGCAGGTATTGGGTGGGCGATACAGAGAACAATAAAATAGGTTAATTTTTATAATTGAATTATATTTAAAAGATTATAATTAATTAATTTTTTTAGGGTATCAATATGTGAATTTTTACAATATTTTCAAAGGTCTTTCTTTACGCAATAAAGATTGTGATAGTATTGGCAAAAAAATTGTCTCTAACGGTACACGTTCCAGGTAATTATTTGATATGTATTTTTATTAGCAAACGTTCGTTCTATGGGTTAAACATAAAGCCAATTCTTAGGTTCAGCTTTTAATGTCTTTATGGATGTCCAGGATATTTGGAGCACATATCGAATGCTTTCAGGCGATTCATCGCGGCAGCCTTTAGAGTTCAGATCTCAGCTCCATATGACAACACCGACCAGACATAACCTTTGATCCTTCTTTAACACAATTTTAGGTTTAAGTTGTCGTTACAGAAGAATGATTTCATTCCCAGAAAAGTTCTGTCAACTGTTTCAATTCGTGTCTTTAGATTTGTGTTTTTCAAATCAATTATTTATTAATATTTATTTGGTTATTTCTTTCCATCTCAATTTTAATATAATTGAAATAAAACTATGTGTATTTATAGATGGATGGTTTTTTAATTGTCGGCTCTACCGGTTTCGATTGTTAAATTCAATCATCTTCAGGAGCTAGCCACCTGGTGTAATACAAATGAAGAACATTAACTAAAACTTACAATATTTAAAATTTCTATTGCTATTGTTATTTTATAAATAAAACGAAAACTCACGTCATTAAATAATTACTTGTATTACACTAGGTGGCTAGCTCCTGAAGATGATTGAATTTAACAATCGAAACCGGTAGAGCCGACAATTAAAAAACCATCCATCTATAAATACACATAGTTTTATTTCAATTATATTAATTATTTATTAGTTTTAATATATTTGAATAGATGACGATAATACTTAATTTTTTGCGAGGTGTAATAAACAATAGCTAATAATGAACTGTAATCGGTTCTAAATGGGATCATGTGTTATCTTTTAACCTTAGCAAATAAAAGGCGAATCTTTCTAGACGGATATCGTCGCAATAATAGATTTCATTTTGAAGACCAACACCGAAGCTTGCAATACTGAACAGTATATTCTGTTGTTGATTGAAATTTCTAATTCTGGTGAAACTTTATGCAATAATGTCTTTATCTACAATAGCATCGGAAGGGGTGGAGGGGGTAGCAAGAGGAGATGGTGGAGAATGATAGCTAAGAACTTTCTATCATCCTACGATTTTGTACTTCATAGGAAGAAGAGATTTTGTGGACTTACTAACATTTAGAATACAAACTGTATACTTCAATTTATGTTCTTCCTATTCTTTGTGGAAATCATATAGGCTTGTTCTACTCATTTTGCACCTGTAGTGTGTTTTCAGTGGTTGCTCTCAAAATCATGTTCTTGGTATGCACCATTTTTTCTTTGATTCCGTTGTATCTGCCTATACCTGTCGGGTATATGTTATTATTAAACTGTCGTAGGCTTATTATACCCTCACTTTGATCTCGGTAGATATGCATTTATTTCTCCTGATAGTCGATCTTAGTGCTCCTCTTATTCTGGCTGACTTATTGACTTGTTTTTTTGAGGTTGTTCTTGAAATATCCATAAGATGTTATGCTTACACCCAAATAAGTGGAGTCTGTTACTGCGCAGTTCTTAAACTATTACCAGAGTTTTTGTTTTGGTAACATTTATATCCATGTTGGCTTTTCCTTTTCATTTGTAGTCTATCCTCTATATCTGCAATCAATGTTGCGTTGTTCGTGTAATATAAGATATTTAGTTCCTCTTTCCCATCATGTATCCGTGTTTTACCTTACGCATTAATCCTATGATCCAGTCAATTAAGGCGTTATAGAGCAACAAGCTAACTGTCAACTGTTTACATTGAGTTGTGTGTTTATTTCTATTATGTGTGGTGTACTTCCTTACAATTCAACTCTTTTATATCGTACGGCAGTCGTATCCCGTCAAACGTTTCCGTGAAATTCATAAAGCATTAACTAATTATTAGTTAACTACTAACAGTAACCGCTTCAGAATGCAGAAGATGGAAAAACAGCTTTATGAATGTGTCTAGGAGGTACATTTTTCGGTAATTCTCTGGGTCTGAGGATGTTCCTTTCTTAAACGGGAATAGTGATACTGTGTCTCCAGCATACTGGAGTGTATACGTTCTGCAGTATTTTGTGATACAGCTCTGTGAGTTGTTCTGTTAATCCTACACCTCCCCACTTCAGCAACACATTGGTGATATTGGCTACCGCTGTGGCTTATTTTATGTTGTTGTTTAAGACCTTCATAGCATTAGTTACCATGTCTTGCTGTCGGATTGGTGTACCTTTACTTTTTGTGGAAGACGCTGCCTAAATAGGACTTATGTGCTGTCAGTTCTTAGCGGTTTGGTGTAGGGATTATGATGTTAAGGATCTAACATCCAATATTTGCTCTGGTCTGATTGCCTTGTTTGTTATTATGTAACCTATTCTGATGTCCAAAGAAATTAATTGACATCTGCGGCCATAATGCAAGGAAAGTATTATGGCTGACGTGAAAATAGCAGTTGTGTATACGATCGATATACAAAACCTATACGATCAAATAAGAATTCTGAGGATTTTGACCACTAAAGAAGCTTGATCTCAAAACAATAAGTATTGCGAGCTTAAACGTACTATCTAAAGCTCGATTAGGCATAGACAAACGCGTGTGTGTTGGGTATGATGGATGTATAACAATGATTGGAAAAGAATCGGATATATGACAAAGAATTAAAATGAATTTGTTAGATTAAATCTATTATTATTTATTATTGAATTGGTCTTTTATTTTCAGCTATGATTATTGCGATAAATATAATAAACATAAATGTAAAGGGACCATTCACTGTTCATCGAACATACATCTTATTACAGATGTACATATTTGTTATAGCGTATGTATAAATTAACATAAATTACGTACATTTTACCAAAAACAGTTTTCTTTGGATTTTCAGAAAAAAAACGAAACCCGACTTTATGATTATGTCAGTTATACGGCTAAAGAGAAACGCGATTGCAGTGGCACCAAAGAAACTATTAAAAAAGATAGCAAATGTGTGAATTGTGAATGTTATTGCGATCACAAGCAAGCTGATAAATACATTAGTTTAGATGAAATGGTGACGGATGTTGCGAATAATAGGTATAATAAACAATATAAAAAATTGACTCTTTATTATTATTAACATTATCGAATTTTATAGAGTATTAACTGGAATACGTTTCAACAAACACAATGGAGTTATTGGGTTAGATATTGAAGAATCTGAACTTAATGATAATGGATATATAATGGAAGGGACGAGTAAATGGATTATCAATAAGGGCGTAGATAAATTTGAATTAAAACATCCAGATAAACGAGAAATACATCTAAGTGGAATAGAAACAGACAATCATAGAGTTATAACCGGTATATTATTTTGATGCAAAAAAATAACTTTTATTACAAATTGATTGATTTTAGGAGTACGATTTCACGAAGTAGAAGACGGTGTGGAATTACATGTAAGAATTACTGATTTAATTTCATGCTCGATAAGTAAAACTATTTTATCGTCGTCTTCTAATTGGATAAATAATGATAAAAAAAGGGAATATAGTATTAACTTGGAAAAAGACAAAGTCGGCCATCCTAGTCAAGCGGAGAGAGAAGGTCCAGTAGCCATTCAAAATTTCTCTAAGAGCCGTGTTAGAGTTTCAGCAACCAGTTTTGAGGAAGATGGAGCTCAAACTGTTATTCCATTTTTTGATGTACGTAAAGTAACACCTTCTAAACCTATGTTGTTACGCGGAATTGGATTGGTTTACAAAAGAGGTAGTAACAAGTATGGCGGATTTATAGCTCCATATATTGTTTTGACTGATTACTCAAATCAAATTGATAACGATTTTCTTGAGATAATGGCAAGAAGTTATTCATCTGGATTGTCTATTTTTATTATTAAAATGAGTTGGGTGTTGATTGTTGTAAATTGTGTAGTATTGTTGGTTTTCTTTGGTTAATAGAATTAATATGTAATCTCAAATTAAATTATATTTTATACACTATCAAACTTGTGTCAAACACTATAAACACTTGTGTTTATTAGTCCAGGGATCCACGAAATCATTATATGGAAATAAAAAATACCAAACAAATTTACCATTTTGAATAGTGTTTACTTAGTGAAGCATACACTGGGTCAAAAAAGTTTCAATACACGCAATAGCATTTTCAACATCTGGTTCTAGTCAGCTAATATCGCATATTATAACAAATATATAATTCAATTAGCACGAACAGGGAGTTGGAAATTACCTACTTTGCTCAGAAACAGTTTTTACATAGCAATGGCTTACATCTGTAACTTTATTGACAATACAGATTTCCCAACCAATTCGCAAGTTAATTATTAACTTAAGAAAAGAAGGCAAATCATTAATAAAAATTGTTAATTGATCTTATACAGGGGCGACAAAATAATTGGTACGGTTTAATATAGTCGTCGCTCGGTTTGTAGAAACGTCAAAGCAGTGCGCGCAGTGACATTAGGTGGATAAGTTCGTGCCATTTTATGTATCGCCATGGGTTGAACTGAATTGCATTGGGCATTTGTAATCGAGGAGTTTATAAGAAATCGCGAATCTGTAATAGCGACGCAGCTTGCTTTCGGTGAAACTTGCCGACCAAGGATAGGAAGAACACCGGAAAATGTGAATGTAGTCAGAGTGTCACTACAGCAGTCTCCAGTAGGCATGCAGCTGCGTTAGGAATATCGGATCGAAGTGTTTGAAGAATTTTACACAAGCCACTTGGAATGCATCCGTATAAAATGATGGTAGTGCAGAAATTAAGTGAAAGAAGGTTACAGACTGGTGTGCAGTATTTGATTTCGGCGTGTGGGATCCTTACTTTTTTTAAAACAGTCGAGTAACGGTAACAGTGGCCTGCGCGTTCGCCTGGCCTATCCAACTGCGATTTTTTTCTTTAGGCATACCTTAAGGGGCTTATCCACGGTCAAGCATGCTCGTCATGCATGCTGTTCATGCCGATTCTTATACCAAAGAAACCGTCTATGCAGCCCCATCCACGATCAATCTTGCATGATAGCTTGCGATGCTCATCATGCATGCATGACCGTGGACAGGCCCCTTTAAAGACAAGTTTAAAACCAAGTTTTCAAACAAGAGATGATTCACAGAGCAATTCGCTTTCCTGCAAAACTGTATTGACAGTAATAGTCGCCATTTAAGTATTGTTATTTTTAAAACATACATTAATTCTTTTTTGTTTTGAGTTATTCTTTGCTTTGTGTGATTTGGGTTTTATTGATATCGCAAATACTGCTAATTATTTTGCCGCACCCTATATAACGGTGCTGTTTTTATAGTAAATAAGTATCAAGAATTACTAAATTGTGAAAATAGGCCTCGTTGGGGTAGACCTAAGAAATTGAGTGCTATTCATAAACGCGTTATTCACAAGGTAATTTATGAAAATCTGTGGCATACGTGTTGCTCCTGAAACAGTCAGAAATGTGATACAAGAACAAGGTTTCGAATTCGCTAAAATAACATAAGAAACGATATCATTTTGGGAGATTGTAATTTTTAGTGACCAATCTTAATTTAATATCGTTGGATCTAATGGAAGAAATATGATTTGGCGGAGAAGATTGAGCAATTAATATATTTATTTGGCGTCTAAAAACATTGAATAAAAGGTAAGAAAATCATGGTTTTTGATATGCTATATAATTAAGGTCATCCTCAGATATCCAGATCAGCAAATCATATGTAATAATTTTTGTACAATTTTTTATTGTCTTCTTAAGAGATTCTGAATGCCAGTTTTGTTGATTTTTGTTTTTTTCATTTTACATAAAAATGAACCAAATGAAAATTGTTCTGTCTTGTGATTCACCTTATTTTCAAAGTTATATGAAGGTCACGATCAATTTTACAATATTTTATTGTAAAATCTGAATATGTGGATAAAAGTAAAGAAATTAAAAAAAAAAAAATTCTACTGTGTGGTTTTGCCAGTACAACGGCAAAACATCTTTTGAAAAAAAATGAAACTTCTTCAGAAACAATTAACTAACGTTTTTATAATTTAGCAAGAACAAATAAGATTTATAAATTTTTCCTACCCGCTTCGATACATTGTCTTTAGTTCTTAATTCTTAGAATACTATTTAAGAATGCTCAACAAAAAAATCCGGAAGAGGTACATCGGGTGACCTGGCTCGTCGGAAACACCTTTGGAAAGAGGTCTAAAAGGTTCCGATATTTCTCCGCCTTTGTCAATTTGATAATAGAATAACGCATGAAAAACAAGAGTTCGTGGAACTGCTTATGTCGGCATTTACAGAATATCGCTTTCAGAGTCTTAATTGGTTGAATTGTTTTAAAATGTAACAGGTAAAACTAAATGTGCATAAAAACTATCATTTTACATTAAGGCAGTGTTTCAACTAAGTCATTAAATCATGGACACTCTAAGTGTGGCAGAAAAAGTCGAAATGATTTTTATTTTTGGAGAAAGTGGCAGGAAAGTTGCTGATAGTATAGCCTTGTATCGAGAACGTTTTCCTGATCGAAATACGCCTTCGAGAAGTACCTTTTACAGAGTTGTGAATGATTTCACTAACACTGGAAATATGGAAAATTACGGTATTAGCTAGCGTTGAGGTAAATTCTCAAGTTAGCACTCGACGACTTGCAATTGACGTCGGAATAGCGAAGACCAGCATTTTAACAATATTAAAGCGCAACAAGTATCACCCATACCACATTTCATTGCATCAACAGCTTTATGGAGGTAATTTTGAAAATCGATTAATATTTTGTCAATGGGCACAAGAACGAATGCGGTTGTCCGTCAATTTCTTTGGTAATGTGCTATTCTCGGATGAGTCTACTTTTACATACAAAAGACAAGTCAATAGACATAACATGCACTATTGGAGCGTTGAAAATCTGAGATGCGTAAAGTAGAACATCAACGACCTTGGTCGGTTAGTGTTTGGTGTGGCATAATTGTTGATAAATTGATCGGTCCATACTTTATTGATTGTATGCTGAATGGGGAGAAGTACCGAAATTTTTTAGATGACGTCTTACCAACGTTACTTGTAGATTTGAGCAGGGAAGAAAGACAAAATATGTGGCTGCAAAATGATGGTTGTCCAGCACATTTTTCACATATTGCATGTGAAGCTTCAGATCGGGATTATACTGGGCGATGGATTGGATTACCTGATTTAACACCTCTTGATTTCTTTTTTTGTGGGGCGTCCTTAAGGATAATGTTTATCGCGAAGTACCGACTACGCCAGAAAACATGAAAGAACGAATAAGAAATGCATGCAGAAATAGTAGCCAAGAAAACCATTTAAGATGTAAAAAAAATTTTAATAGAAGGGTTAATAAATGTATTGAAGTGGATAGGGAAATATTTGAACATTTATTACAAATTTTATACTTGTTGTTGATATGCTAACTAATAGTATACTTTAGTCATTTTTTTTTATTTAAAACTATTTGAATAAAAAAATTATTTAGATTTTGTCTACAAAAGATGTTTCGTCGTCGTACTGGCAAAATCACATGGTAATTTTTTTTTTAATTATTTTACTTTTATCCATAGATTCAGATTTTGCAATCAAAAACATAGGGTACCGTTTAATAAATTGGTCGTGACCTTCATATGACCTTGAAAATAACCTCATTCTGTATAAGAGAGCGTTGAGTAAGCGAAAATACCACGATTTCAGTAGAGAAGAATTAGAAGCCTTAACAAATATACGTACTGGTAGATGGACATTGGTGGAGGCTTCAAATATTAGCGGGATATCAAAATCGGCATTATATCGAAAACTGAAAAATAAAAATATGAAAACTTATGGTAGGCATTTCTCATTCTATATAATGGACCCATACTTTTTTATTTGATGTCAAGTCACCTGTAGGGCAGCTTTATTTGGCCTTTAAACTGATTTATGCTTATATTTTCAAGTAACCCAACTGAGACTTGAGAAACAGTTTTTATTTTTTTTGTCGGTTGTTTAAGAACGTTTTATACGGGTTCTGTTCTTTGCAAAAAATGGCATAGCGCAATATTTTTTGTTTTATGATATATTCATGAGCAGTTCATGAGTATGGCGGATATTATTGAATTCATGTTAAAATTGCAGTCAAGTCACCCCACTCTAGGGTACGTGAAATCTTCAATCGTCGTTTTCTTAATTTACCAATCTATTTGAGCGGTGGCCACTTCGCTCCCTGGCTGAGATATATACACTTTATTTTTGACCTGGGTAAGTACGACCATGTGACGCAATATCAAAATCACCTTCGTATGTTGACTGTCGAAAAGCGCAGATCCTTCCGTATACTGACTACATTATATAAAATACTTTCTTCTCGAACCCCAGTATACTTGTACACGAACTTTCAATTCATGTCGTCTCGTGGTCTGCCTACTAGAGCACAGTCTGGTACCTTACTCATATTTCCTATTCATCGCACCGAGAGATATCATGGATCTTTCACGGTGCAGGCTATAAAGCTTTGGAACAGTTTACCCACGGAAATACGCAACACTCGGAGTTTTCTAACATTTAAGGTCTGTTTAAGGGATTATCTATTAACACTGCAATTATCTGAATCTACATAACTCTTGATGTCACCTGCTTCTCTTCTCTTTTTATTTTTTCTTTTCTCTTTTTTTTTCCTTCTCTCTATCAACTGTACTCGTTGTGTTTCTTCCTTTTCCTCTGCTCTTTTTCTTCTTTTTGCTTAAATGTTGAATTATTTAATAATGCCATATTGATTATTTTTTTTTACATACATTGCTGGCTGGGTCTTTTGGAAGACATCGCTCTTGGCGATAAACTGACCTTTTGTCAACATACACTATTAATTAATTCATTTATGTATACATATATATTATTTTTCTCCTGTATAAGCTATGTGGCAATAAACTTATNGTTCGACCTGCCGTTGGTCTAATAACTTCCAGTGGGGTTTCCCAAATCACCAACTCGTTGTTGGGAGGATTACTTCCAACAGCGCAGGATAACGCAGTAGTTCAAATAGATAATCACGATAATAATTTTATATCCACCGGTGTGACACATCCAATTTCCGCCGATACGATCATACAAGGATTTAACGATATCGATCCGAACGAGTTTAAACCGGCTATACACACGACTATGTCCACAATTATAGCGGAAGAGACACCGCCTTCATTAAAATTTACTGTTACAAGTAAACCTCAGTATGTGTTAAGTGGTTCGATAACCAGACCTGGTTTCAGGCCTAAACCGTTGTCTAATCAAAAAAAAATAATAATACTTCACGAAATTATTATTTTACTATTTAATTTAATAAAACTATTAAGTATGACTCCTATTAATTACTCCAAGGAAGAGATGGTGGATATGGTGTATTGTTACACCATATCCACAAGGCCGGTGGAATTAGAAGAAGCAGTTTTGAGAAGCTTTTGATGAAAAGGCCTCAACCAGCATTAGAAAAAATTCTGCACAAGAAACATTAACAAAACAACCGTTCACCGCATTTTAAGGGAGCAGTTGCTTTATCCTTACAAGACCATTCAAGCTCTAACAGAAAATGATGGCGAAAAAAGAGAGATTTTTTGTAGGTGAGCCATATAGGAAGAGGTAGTAAACGTCGACTTTCCCATAAACATTGTATTTACAGATGAAGTAACATTTACTTAAAGCGGAATTTTTAATATTCATAATGCGTATGTTTGAAATGATGAACATCCCCATGCAATACTAGAAACTCATCATCAGTGGCGATTCAGTGTTGATGTATGGGCTCGAATTATAGGTGATCAGTTATTAGGTCCATTTTTTCTTCCAAAGAGATTTACAGCCGATGCTTACATACATTTTTTACAAAATGACCTTACAGAGGCATTTGATGAATTACCTCAACAAATTCTAGAAGATTGCTACTTTATGCACGATGAAGCACCAGCACATTATCCACGCGCTACCCGAGCATACTTAAATAACAGATTTGGCAATAAGTAGATTGGCGGAGGAGGTCCTGTCCCGTGGCCACATCGTTCACCAGATTTAAATCCGTTAGATTTTTGGTTTTGGGGATATTTAAAACAAATAGTTTATTCTGAAGACGTTCAAATTGTGCAGGATTTGAAAAATAAAATTAGTAATGCATTTGACACAGTGAAACAAATTATGACATGAATCTTTTCCAATTTGTTAAATATTCGTTGTTTTTATTCTAGTTGAACGATTTTCTTCGACAGTCTTTGTTACTTGTTTTGTTAAATTTTTAATGAACTGTATTAATTAACTTAATATTATCTTATTATTTATTAAATTTTATCTTAACCATCGTAACCATGGTAATCATATAATTACTGCATCTAAATCGTTACAATTAATGATGTTAACAATAGGTCAACTTATGAAACTAAAACTTTGAATATCTCGAAATGGTACATTTTCAGACCTGTGTTTATTAGACTTTTTTTGTCTATTTTCGATCAGAGAATACGCTGATGCAGTCTTGTACAATCGTTGCGGGACATCCTGTATACGTAGAAGATATATTTTTTTGTCTGTCAAAAAAGATAACGTTATTATTGGGGTTCATGAAGTAATAAATGATAATTTCAATTGTATTGCCAGGACCATTAGTATTCTTGTAGTATTTCATTATATTTTGTTCTTGTTTCGTTTAGCCTAACTTACAACGCATTCGATGGTTGGGGAGTGAATATTGTTTCACCATGAATATCTAATATTTTTAAACATTGCTGCCTTTCCACAATGGCGTGTAGATGTCTGGCTACGAAGCGCTTTGCTGTTGGAAATGCAGCACTATCATAATTAGACTTTTACAGAAATATTCAGCAACAATCGAGATTTTTAAGAAATCTCAGCAAATAGGGTAATTAACAATTTAAGGTTTAAGACAATCGATCATTATTTGTCCTCCGTTTTCAAAGCAAAAGAAATTGTAAATTAACTGTCAGAACAATTGTGATCAAAAATAATTTCTGTGCAGCTACTAAAAAAAAATTAACGGACATATTTGTCGTAATACCATGTCCTTGACATTTATTAAATGATAGTTTAGATTATTAGGCGTTAAAAATGTCATTCTTCATAGGCATTGTCAATGTTTCAAATATTTGGAAACTTGAGGTAATAATGCTTTAAGTAATTTCAAGTTATTGGCGTATTGAAATTATAAATGAATATAAATCTTGCCTTTATAGTTCATTAGCAGTTTTCATGATACAAGAAAATTGTTTACCCTAAGTCTCAACCTTCATAACTGGTCCTAAATTCCTAAACAACTTGACTATATACATAACAGTACATAATCCTATTCTCTAAGTATTAATATTAAAAAATAAGTGTTCAAACAAAAAATTGTTTTTATTTCTGAAAAAATTAAAATAAAACTTTATCAAATGTATTTTCTTAACCGTCTAAATAATGTAATTCACATTACATTACAAGTTTTATATAAAAAGAAATTTTATATTTAATCATTTTAATCGATATAAACAAAGAAAAACTATTCCTGTTCAACAACTTCCTTATGTTTCTTTTTCTTCTTCTTTTTCTTTTCAGAACTTTCCTGAACAACCTCTTCAGTTTCAACAGCAGCAGTAGAACTTTCTCCTACTTCCTGTCCTTTCTTCTTCTTTTTCTTTTTTTCACCTTTACTAGGTGTAGTAGCTTCTTCTTCTTGGACTTCTTCCTTAACCTCAACTTCTTCAACATCCTGCTTCTTCCTCTTTTTCTTCTTTTTACCTTCACCTTGTTCTTCAACTTCCTGTTTTACTTCTACCTCTTCTTCTTCTTTAACTTCTTTTTTAAGTTTCTTTTTTTTCTGTTTTGTAGTTTCAGTGGTTTCTTCTTCAACTTCAGTTTTAATTTCTTCAATCAATGGTTTATTATCAGAATCTCTCTTCCTTTTGCTACTTGATGGTAAAGTTGAATCAGCAGCAACAGGATATTGTTTGATTTCACTTACTCCATGATATTTCTCAAATTTAGCTTTTGCTTTTCCGGTTCCACTTAATCTTTTTATATTTCCTTCTTCGAGGAATCTTAATCTTGATTCTAATTTAGTTTTGTGTTCAACACCTAAATCAAAACCGGTACTTTCTCCTAATGCGTCAACACGAGTTGCTAAGGAAGCTTTTGCAGCTAACATTCTTGACATTTTCCCTTTATTTCTTGTGCTTGCTTGACCAATTAATTGGGCGTGGTAAATTAAACCGTATTTAGGTGTATCTTTTTTGGTTTTAAGTGCGCGGAAAAGCGCTTTTTCCGCACCTATGATTTGTACGGTAGAAGCGGGGTGTTTAGCTAAATTAATTAAAGATCCAGCATGAGATATTAAACGCGCCCCTACAAGTTCTCCAACTAAAACTGTTAAATTTGGCGCCATTGCCATCATTCGTCCTTTTAAATAATCATAAAGTTGAGCGCGATAATTTGAAATATCAATTACTTGATCACATAAATGTTGAATATGAATGATATCATCTTCTGAAATTTCGGTCCCCATTGAAATTTCAGCTGCTTCTTTAACTTTTTCTTCAACTTCTTCTGGAAGGATATCAGACATATCTGATTTAGCAGCGTTATCTCGTGTTCCCATAACTTTAACAAGTTTTACATAAGCTATGTTATCTGTGATAATTTTTCCTAATTCAGGAAAATGCCATCCATACCATTCGCGACATCTCATAATGTAATTGTTTAATTCTTTATCTAAATCATCTAATAAACAAACAGCCTGAACAATCATTGTGTCAACTTTATCAGGAGAAAATTTTAATTTGTATCTTGATAATGAATGAGCTAAACCCAACATCATAGCGGTGTTTTCTTTTTTGGGTAACCCTGATATTAAGCTGTCCAATTGGGAACGTATACATCTCATAAGTTCTTGTACTGGACTGTTTGATAAACATTGCAAACTAAATTTTTCTTTAATAGCAGTACCTAATTTGTTATCAGCTACTAAAAGTTTTTCTTGGACGTCTTTATCAACAAATTTTTTTAAAACTTTTTTAAGAATTTTCGATAATTTTCCTTCAACAGCTGCAGTTGTCGCTGCCAAAGCTTCCGTTGTATCAGCAAACTTCTCAAAGTGTTTTAATTTTAAACTATTAAAAAAAAAAATAAATTAAAACATTAAATTATTAAAAAAAAATAAAATGCACATACATTTTATTTGCTGCTTCCGGCGATTGGAACTCCAAATACAAATTATCAGTTTCTTTTAACTTATTTTCATCGAGCATCTAAAACGAAAACGTGGTTAAAGTGAGGTTATGTATAAACCCCGGTTTTAAAGTATTTACCTTAAAAATGGCGTATCCTGCCGCCGTTTCGAAAAGCACCAACATTTTGGTGATTATCCGAAGTCACTTCACTTAAAAAAAACTTAATTATTAAAAAGATTATTTCAATTTAACCTTAGAACATGCGCGCATAAGAATTAGGTTAGGAACAATATTAAAGATGGTTGACCCACGCGCCACTTAACATCAACATGAAGTTATCTATTTTAAAGATTGCCATCTATTAATAAGTAATTGTACTAGAATTTTGAAATCGTGAAGTTTTATATTATATTTATTATTAATTTATTGCGATTATAAGTGAATAGTTTTAAATGTTTATTTGATTAAATTCGATAGGTTGATAATTCCAATTTATAAATTAAAATTTATTTATTAAAATTAAAAAGATTTTAAGTGAAATTACAGGTTCCTATTATATTAGATAATATAATTTAATAATAATAAATGTTTATAAACGATAATTTATTCAAGTTGATTGATTCTCGTTGCGTAAATAATGAATTTAAAACGAATTTAATTAATCTTCTTTTGGGATAATGAAATTAGTCTAACGGTTAATCTGTAGTTAAAATAATTTATAAAATTTGGCGAGTAAATAATATTTTTCATTAAATTTTTTGTGAAAATTTCATTGCAGCATAGGAAAGGTTATTGACACATAAAAGAATGTATTTAACATGTAAATTTAGAATTTGTGATGAATAATTTAACTGTGAAATTTTCAGTTAAATACACATAATAAACTACATATTTTATTATAAACTATTTTTGTTTCTAAGTTTCTTGTGAAATAAAAAAAAAATGCGTTATTGAACACCAACAAACTTACATGTGCTTTGACTGACTCCATTACAATTCCAAAATTTGACCGTGTAATATGGATTTCATGTCGGAACCATATTTTTTGACCTTTTTTGAAACGATCGCCATGTTACTGTTAATGGAGTTCATTATCATGCGATGTTTGAAGACTATTTTTAGCCAAATTTGGATTGGCCTGACATCAATGATATATGGTTCCTACACGATGATATAAACGCTGGTCAATCAATTAATTTATAGACGAATATGTTTATTGCAAGTAACTCAAAATCCTTTAATTCATACTTCAGAATACAGCACATACCCTCTACAGTCCAACCGCGTCCAGAAATGTTTACTATAGTTTTCAAATAATCAAAAATTGAAGAAGAGAGGAGGTATTGCAAATACTAAACCTAAGTGGATCTAATTGTAAGTTAAGGTCTTCCACCGCAAGGTTTAGGAAAGACTGTAATATTTGAAAAAAATTTCTTCAACACGTTATCTACAGTGGGTCGACCAGCTGGAACGTTTTGTTTATTAAAAATTGCTAACTAGCATGTCTTTCAGGAAACCACATTGTCAGATGATAGCCGGATTATTGTCGAACTACACATAAGGACATAAAAATTAAAAAAAAAATGTGCCCCTAACAGCCACTGTGGGGATTCCTAGATTTATTACCACACAACATTGACGATTTACAAAAATATTCGACTTTGCTACAAACTTTATGAGGAGCTTGTAAAAGCAGGTAGAGGATACTGGAAAAGATGAGACCGACCATGACAGCTTTGCCAAGCAGTACTATTAAGCAGATTACAGTACTGGACTAGATCATATCATTTACATTTTTCCAGTCATTCAAAAGCTGTTGAATCGGTTAATAACAATGATTTCAAGAAAGGAGTTCAAAAATTGTTTTAAAACTGTTCAATTACTGATGTTAGAAGAAGTAACTGATGTAGTGGAAGAAGAACTAAACAAAGAAATTTGGCTGAGAAATAGAGTAAGCGAAAGAAATACAAAGGGAGGTTCGATGCTTTTACGACAGCTGAAGTCAGAAGATCCTTCTGAATGCAATGAGAATGACGGCAGAAAATATTGATTAGTTGGTATTATTAATTTCAAGTAATATTCGACGCAGCGATGCGTTATTTATGCATTTTTTCTTATTTATCTGCTGGAAATAGTTACAAAAGTTTCAGTCATCTGTTTCGGTTGCCCAAATCATCTACTTCGCAAATTATACCCGAAGTTTGTGAAGAAATAAAAAGGGCATTAAAAGACCACATCAAGATCCTAAATTATGTTTATATTATAATTTTCATGTTGCATATCAAAATCAACATCTCTATGGAGTCTATGTACATGTATTCATTTATTTTGATGTGTGCAACTTTTTGATCGCACTGTACTTAACACTATTTCGCTTAAACAATATTGAACTCTTTCGTAATAATATTGGTCTATTCTGTATTTTCACACAATAAATGAAGTGAATCATCAGTGGCTTGTGTGTCTATGTATAGTAGACCCTGCACTCGTTGAAAACGTATTAGACCTTCGACCAGAGGCTTGTAGTATGTGACAATAGTACATATTTTTATATTTCAAATCGTTCAGTCTATATTTTGTAATCACTTTCTGCATTTCTTCTTTGCGTAGGATAGCCTGTTCAGTGAAAAATTTTCTTAATTGCGTCGGTATATATCTTCCAAAAATGCTAAATTCATCTCCTGCTCTTTCGATTTGGCGATGTAATTTTTGAGCTTGAAAGACTGAATTGAAGACATTGAGAATTGACATTTTATGAGCTCGAAAGGTGTTGGAAATATGTATTTCCTTGATGGAATCATGAATCACAAGCAATATATCAACATTTTGAAAACAAATCTTCGAAGCAGTGCTGAAAATATGGGGCTAAATAACGATTACGTATTTAGCCAAGACAACGATCCGAAGCACACAGCTTGGAATACTAAAATTTGGTTACTTTATAATACTCCTCAATGGATTGAAACCCCCTCACAATCGCTTGACATTAACCCTATTGAAAATTTGTGAAATTTACTTGAGGCGAAACCCAGAAAATACTATAGTATGAATACTATAAATATAGTATTCAGAATCAAAAAGATCTCAAGGCAGCTTTGACTACTGGCAATGAGTGGGAGAAAATTTCTATAGATACAATACAAAGATTAGTAGAATCACTTCCAAGACGATTAGCTGAAGTCATTAACCCGTTTTTGCCCGAGTTTTCTTATTTCGAATACAAAGGTTCTTTTACATAATCTTGACGATTTTTATGCATGTCAAATTATATGCAAAAAAAAATGTATATATAATTTTCGTTAATTTTTGATGTTCCAATTTTGGAACATTGACTGTGTCACAGGAACTTACAGTAAGAACAGTGCTGTTATCATTCCAAGCTGTCACAGTTATGTTTGTGGTTTTATCCGTTAGGTATTCATACGTGCCCCTTGGTTTCTCTTTTAAAATTTTGCTGGGAGTGATAGGGCATTTCTCAGTCCTGTTAGGATTGATGGTTCTTCTCGTTAAACCTGTTTCTTCTCATTGCATTTGCGACCATTGGATTGTATGGAGGAACTTGAAGATGTCCTGACAAGAACAAAATGGCAACGAAGCATTTAATTTCGCCAGTATCAATTTCTAAACTATGGTCATCATGTTGCTGAGCATAAAGTACAAACATATCGTTCAAGAAAGTACATATTTCTTCATCAAAAAAACTTTCAAAACCAGAAACAGCATCGGTATGTTCGAGATTGGCTTGGCGAAACAAATGGCGGCAAAGTTGGAGTCAAATCACATTTCGCCCAATTTCTTTTAGGCGGATGATTATAATTTGTGTTGATTAAACGTGAAAGAGGTAAATCGTCTTCGTCACTAGAATTTTCTGTGTCTTCGACGTCTCCGATGTAAGTGGTTTTATCGAATTGTCTAAATTTTGCGGTCGCAGGCGCTTGTGTCGTTCACTCAAGTGATTTATATCAGAAGGAAGTTCTTCATCATTACTATCTTCCTCAGAGTTTCTTCCATCATTAGGTGGAGTAATATGAATGTCTGCTTCCCAAAACTCATCACTTTCCACCAAATCAATGAACTCTTTGGTAGAATAGTAATTGAAAAAAGAGTGCACCCAATCACTCCCAGTGTTCCGAAATTAGAACATTCCAAAATAACGGTAAATTACCATAATAAACGCATGCAAATTTGGTAAGATTATTTATAGCAAACATTCAACAGACAATATAGTATGTTTTAATACAAAAACAATTTGAAATTATTTACAGTAAATTACAAAAAAAATACTTACTTCTTTGCAGCCATTTTTGCACTATAAACACCAGCACAGTAAACTCTGTGAGATTTGCAAACGAGTGAATTCTAACAATATAGTACACTTCCTCCCAATAACGTATGAGACTATGACGAACAAGATGAGACCTGCAGAATGCAAAAAATATTTATTAAAATAATAAAATAATTATTTTTTATTATTGTTGACTGACTGTTAGAACAATCTTTTCTTGTCAATTTCTTATAAGGACATTACAACGTCTATTTTTATTATAATAAATCTTTTTTATTGTAATTTATTTTATTTTTATCAAATTAATAGTGCGAATACGCATGGTGAACAAATAGTTTGGAGTCATGGAGGTGTTTTGGAATTTTTTTGGTTTCCTGTTGCGACTATCTTTTTGTTGAAATAAGTTATTCGTTTTCGTTCATTGTTAATTAAAACTCCGATAAAGAATTCGAACTCTAGCTTAATTGGGACAAAATACCCCGACCACAGTGTCCCAATTAACCAAAATCGACTGCAGTATATGAATTTTTTTCTCAAAACTGATAAAATGATAATATAACTTTAAATAATAAAATTTGATTTTTCCTGAAATCAATCTTTACATTAAAATTGACGATTGCCAATTAAAAGAATATTTAGAATGGATCAATTTTGAATGTTTAAAAATATTCAATCTAAGCGTAAAGTATTATATAATTTAAAAACTTTTTTTTTCTAAAACTTCCAAAGTGTTGTATTAGCCATAACGAATTTATTATATTATAATAATAGCTAAGTTTAACAGTGTTTGCTTTTCCACTTTTTTTGTATTTATTTCTTATTTAGAGAATTTTAAATTTAAATAAAAAATGATTATATTTACACGTTCAATATCAATAAACGGTATTGAAAAAGACAACAATTATCCCTCCAAAAAGATTTTTTAACGTAACCGCAGCCTTGAATAGAGCATAAATACGCTTCACTGGACGAATGTCAACACCATTACACTTTGTAGTGCTCGAGTTCAGACATTTTTTTTTGTTTCTTGGTAGTGAGCTTTTATGTGAATTTTCTTTTGATTATAAAGAAATTATTAACAAAAAGATGTTTGAGAAAGTAAGTAAAATTAATTAAATATTAATGTTAAATTAAAAAAAAAGTTTTCTTCCATATTTCTTTTTATTCTTTCTTCAAAATAAAATATTTGACTCAAAATTAAAAAAATACTTTATTAATTTATCTATATTTATTTAATTATTAGTATTATTTTTAAAATTTGTAAATTCTATTTTTAATTTCTTTTCTTTTTCTTTGTTGTTGATGGCTTTGGTTAAAAAAAATATTTTAAATTAAATCCTAATCACGTACAACAAAAATGTTCATTTACAAGAATAACAATGGACTTTCTTGGATACTAAATGAATGCAAACGATCGATAAATAGTAAAACGGATAATTGTTCTATTTCAACAGATGCTATTGGGTGATCGCCTTCCTCTTTCGACATTCGTGGCGGTTTTTCTTTTGATACTTTTAATGATTTACTTCAAAACGTGGCTAAGATGTTCATGGCTCGTATTGAAATTAAAAGGACCGACTGCTTTACCCATTGTTGGAAATGCATTGATTATTGCAGATTCAGCAAGTAAGTAACAAAAATTTTAAAAGTTTCGCTTTTTTCTAGGTTAGATCATTTTATTCGAAAACGATTTTCTGCCAGATTCTATGGAATATGATAAAAAAATTAGACGATATCTTTTAAGGTGAATTTATTGATGAGAGCTGCGACTACAATTTTTTTAACACAATGAATAATTTCTCCAATATGTTTTGATATATTTTATATCAATAATAATATATTTATATCATTCTCATCTATTTATGTATGAATTTCTATATTTCGGTTTATCTATTTTTCTAGACAAAGTAATATATTTGTAGCTAAACCTGTAATGAATATTTTGGCAACATGCTTCAATATACCTCAAAATTCTGGAAATATTCAAGTTGAAGCTGTACGTTTTGTTAACACTTCAGATAATTGAAATATATAATTATTTCTTAGGATGGTTGTCTCTTACTTGTGCAGAAGAACACATATGGTTTCTGTTAATCATCTCAAAATACCTGCTCTATATAAAGTTGTTGTTTGTACATACACATTAATAAGTATGTTTGTTGAACAGGGGTGTTAAATGGTTGTTAATATACATTGAGTTTGTGCCTATAACTTGTATTGTAATTAATTGCACTAACTAGGCACGTGTTGTTCATGATGTGTCTATGTTATTTGTAATGTGAATAAATGGAAAATTACCGGCAAATATGTACTTATTGCAATAAGAGAGTTAAAAGTGAATAAAATCGATAATATGGGTTTTAATAGGAGATATAACTATACAGAATTAATTTTTACAGAATGATTAATTAATCAATATTTGAGTCAAACTCACACTTATTGGTAAATGTGCACATTTTTCTAACTAAATACCTACTCTCCATAACATCGATACATATCTAGTCAAAAAGATTTTGCAGTAAAAATTTGTGTCCATCAGTGATTGGGTCGATAATTTTATTGGTTGTTATGATGTTGTAATTATCTGTATGTTATTATGTATTGCATCTGTATGTTGTAATTATGATCTTCGTAATTAGTCGTAACCCTTTTTCTTCGTATTTGTTTCATGTTTGAGTCCACATTCAAATATTTTTAGTCTTACTTTTGTAAGACATCCCAAAATTATTTAAAGTCTGCTTTAATCTGCGGGGGAAATATCTATATGAAGAATTTTTCTTTTTCTTGTAAAATGTTGTTTGCTTATTGCACAAAGTTATGAAAAAAGAACTATAAGGAAGACCTTGTAGGGGAGAAAGTGGCTTTGAAAACATTGGATTGACAACAAAGTTCCGGCTATTTTTTTATATTTTTATTTTAAAGTTTATTTTTCAATAACTTTTCAAATTAATAACTTCACAATCAATAAAATATTATTACCCGATTTCGACTCGAAAAATTCATCCAACCAAGCTCTCCATTCATCATCGGTGTTAAAACAATCTTTGCACATAGCATTTGGATGAGATCAAAGAGGTGGAAATATGTTGATGTAAAATTGGGGGATTTTTTTCGTCATATTGGCGATATCTATGAATATTCCCATCTCACCATAAGAACAACATCGTTTTACACGGATGAAGAACTGGTTTATGTACCGGTGTTAAGCCATTCCTTGCGATACAGGTACAATTTTTCATTTCCAGCAACAATTTGATTTATTTATCATTTAAAGTACCTCACACTTCTCAACCTTTCTCATCGAGTGAAGATGCTTCTTCATAGCAGTGTAGGACCATTCCATTTTCTCAACCAGTTTCCTAGTCGTTTAACCCATATTTTTGTACAAAAGCTGATTTTATCGCTCGTCTCTTTTATGATACCCTCTCTATATACAGCAAATTTCAACGATGGTTTTTATTAAATCATATTTTCTATGAATTTTGGTTTTCTTGCAAACAACATAAGTCAGGACGTTAGTCTCCTATTATGTCATCTTTTAGTATGTTATATTTTAGGTAGCTCGTGTATAGTATATTAACACGTTGGACATTGTAACGTTGTTAGTGGGCATGACGAAAAAAGGATATGCGTGAATTGAACTAAAATTAGAACCAAAACTAGAACTAACACTAGAAACTTTCGGGTTTTGCCGTGCATCTTTTAAGAAATCACTTCGAAGTGTCACTTCAAACCAGTTTCTGAAGAAGGTTGCAACATGGCATCCGAAACGTCAAACCTTTTAGGTGAGAAAGTGGCTTTAAAAATATTGGATTAGCAACTAAGTTTTGGTCATTTTTTTATATTTTTTTATTAAAATAGTTATTTTTGATACAAGATAGCGAAATGACACTTTTGCATTCGAGAACGAAAGTTTTTTTTGCGAGCTTTAGCGAGCAAAAAAAATCGTTCGAGAATGCAAAAGAATTTCGCTGTCGTGTATCAAACAACATTTTTTCGAAAACTGCGTATTCTAAAGTTATAAATTAATAAAAAGACCAAATTCTGTATAATGACATTTAGAATTCATTTAATGTTATGTCAAAAACTTAACGTCACATCGATTTAATAATATTATAAATTTGCATTTAAACGTGAAATTAAATGATAAAACAATTAAATGTTGATTATTTTGTGTTTATAATTTGTTTATAACAATAAATTAACAATTAATAGTATCAAATTCTTTGATTGTCGTTTGATTGTCTTTGACTTCCTGTTGACAAAAAACTACGCAAAAGTCAACTTTTAATAGCAGTCTTCGAAAAAATTTATTTTTCAATATAAATTAACAACTTTACAATCTATAATGTATTTTTCTTTGTTGTTTCAACTTCCTCGCAACGTTTATCAAGACATTCATTACTTTTTTGCTAGAAATCACCCAATTTCGACTCGAAAATTCAGCTAACCAAGCTCTCCATTCTTCATCGGTGTTAAAAGAATCTTCACACATAGTATTTGGATGAGATCAAAAGAGGTGGAAATCTGTTGATGCAAAATTGGGAGCGTTCCTTCGTCATATTGGCGATATCTATGAACATTCCCTTCTCACCATAAGAACAAGATCGTTTTACACGGATGAAGAACTTGTTTGAAAACTTTGTTGTTTGAAATTGTTCCTTGCGCTACAGATACAATTTTTTATTTACAGCACAATTCGGTGCTTGCATCCATAAGTTGAGCGGTGACGAGCAAGCAAACTTTATATTGATATTTATCATTTAAAGCATGCGGAACCCATGCTTTACGCTTCTCAACCTTTCTCATCGAGCGAAGATGCTTTTCTATAGCAGTGTGCAATCATTCCATTTTCTCTGTCAGTTTCCTTGTCGTTTAACGCATACTTTCGTGTAAAAGCTGATTTAATCGCTCGGTTCTTTTATGATACCCTTTCCATACACAGCAAAAGTATCATGAGCAGCTTTCGCGGGCCTTAGAATTTTGATGAAAAGCCAGATCTTGAGCAAAAGGAGAGACAAGACATTACATTTTAATAATCTGAACATGAACTTAATTTAATATAAAAACATAGAAACAAACAGAACATTTAATGCCCAAATGTTAAAACTAAAGAAAAAAACCGTAGGAATTGCCAATGTAATAGATTTAACATTTTTTAATTTAGCAAATTTAGAACAGATTCATGTTTTGTATGTTTCCTTTGTGCCACATTGTTTATGGCCAAGAAAACTCCTGCAGTATACTTTTTATAGCTACGATGTTTGGATGTTACTATATGTATAAGGTGGATTCCTTGTGAATAGTGGAGTTTTGAGGTTTTAATCAGAATTGTTATCTCGGTATTTTGGAATAATGACTTTTAGAATTTTAACATTAATTATGTTTTCATATGTTTTACTAATTACCAATTGTTATAGCCACTCCCATTTTTCCACATATCTATGAACAGTAGTTCTCTGTCGGATTACTATATGTTTATTTTAAAAATCATATCATAATGGGGAATTTTTTTCTCTACCGTGTGCACAAATTATATAAACGAGACGAAGCAGAGTTAGAGGTGAGAAAATATAATTCTTTATACTGTTGGTCTCGTAACTCACGGATGTTCATCCCAGAATGGGTTGTAACCAAACCTTCCCGTACAATCTTTATTAGATTTCATCTTACCCAGTGAAGTAGTACTATTCAATTCATCATAAAATGTTTTCTCGACATCTGAACACAGTCAGTACATAACATCATTAAATAAAATATATATTCTCAAAAATTCAGAAGCTTTTCGGAAACGATCAAGGGGTACCTTGAAATTTTCTGTCCTTGATGAGATGGTTTAGTGAAGATCTCTGCAATTTTTCGATTTAAGCAAGCGGACATATCACTTTGAGGATTTGTTCGGCTGTAGTAAGTTTACTTTCATACATCATTGGATTGACAGATTCCTATACAAAAAAGCTCTAAAATATGTTAAGTGATTCAAGAGAAAATATCAGTCTAGAATTTCAAGATGAGGAACTGAATTTAAATAACTTCTTCAGACCCTTCGATGTCAGACATGGTGATATGTATCAACTTTGACACATCGCTAAAATATAATGCAGGTCTCATACAGGAAAGACAGATATTCAGTAGGTATATATGTTTCTTAGAACAACTATTGTTTGTGCCACGTCATTTGAAGAAACATAAATTCGGTTATCTATCGGAGTACATAAATCTAAGAAATGTTGTATCGTCATTAATATTAAAGTTGGAGTTAACCAAGTTTTCTTGTATTTCCTTTTTTATTCCAGCATATTCGTTACCTAACAATTATTTTGAAATAAATCCAAAGTAGTAATTTTGATTGAAACGTTAGCAGATCGTTGTTCTGTCGTGGTTGTGACTGGAGGCCATGTCTAAATATCAAGTACCAAGTCCTATGTCACGTGGTTGCATGCTCTGTTATCATTGGTACATTGTGTTATTTTTAATTCTGGCTTTATTCTTGTGGTTAAGACCTATTCTTTTGTGCTAAGTTCAATACATTTCTAGAAAGCCTATAAACGAATTAATTGTTATTTTTGAGAGAAATGTGGGTGGTAATGCATCAAATAAGTTATTAACTGAATAGATTCATTTTATCTCTGTTGGTTAAGTAATTGATTACCATTTCTATTATGGTTTTTATTAAATCATATTTTCTATGAATTTTGGTTTTCATGTAAACAACATAATTCAGAACGGTAGTCTCCTATTATGTCATCTTTCATTATGTTATATTTAAGGTAGCTCGTGCATAGTATATTAACACGTTGGACATTGTAACGTTGTTAGCGGGCATGATGAAAAAAGGATATGCGTAAATTGAACTAAAATTAGAACACTGGAAACTTTCGGGTCTTTTAAGAAAAGGTTTGACGTTTCGAATGCCATGTTGCAACCTTCTTCAGAAACTGGTTCGAAGTGACACTTCTGAAGAAGGTTGCAACATGGCGTCCGAAATGTCAAACCTTTTCTTAAAAGACGCACGGTAAATCCCGAAAGTTTCTAGTGTTAGTTCTAGTTTTAGTTCTAATTTTAGTTCACTTCGTCATTTCGAAGTGATGCAGTTATATGCATAGTAAATCAGTTATAAAAAACAATAATAAAAATTACTACTGTTATTATGCTTCCTGGTCTGTTGTAAGTTTCTCCTTCCGTGTTTTTAACATACCTCCATTACCACAAATGCCGTGTACATCACGTAGTATTATAATTCTCATTTACTTTTCATTCTTTAAGCCTACTCTACTGTTTTATTTCCTGCAATAACAATTAATGGTTTTTATCGGTTTCCTTCGTATCAGTAATTTAAGTTACTGATGTGTACTCAGAAAATACCCAGTTTGTACACACTAAAAAGATAACGTTGCTGTTTTCAATATACACCTTAATTCCGATATTCGATGTTTTCAATAATTTTTATGAATATCTGCTTTAGTTTTAGCAGAAAATCCTGACGATCGATATCGAATACGTGCGTTACATTTCTTTGCTAATTTACAGCGACAACAGTCTAAAACTTTATTGTATGCTGTATAAATTATTTTAAATTTTAAATTTTTTTAGCACATCTGGTAAATTTAAAGTGGTTACAAATAAAAATAAGGTAGAAAATAGTAAAAAGAGATGTTTTTGAATAATTTATTGGCTTTTAACGCATCTACTATATTGATAAACAAAATTAAAGAATCTTTTTTATCAATTACAAATTTGAAGTTACAAAAACCTCACTGAAAAAATTTATCATCGAATGGTTGCCGAAGAAATCAGTATCTAAAGTAGTACAATCTTGATACAACTTCTGCAACTCTATATCTTTGGGGATCGATATCTTGGCAATCGTTCGATGAAACAATTATGTTGAAGTTCATTGGCCTTATTCAACTTCATAATGTTTTTAAATTTATAAATGATTTGATATGAATCGCTAATTAAATGAAAAAACTATCACATTTTGGTGATTATTGCTTGAAATCTATTAAAGAAAAAAGTTTTAACATACATTCTTTGATATTTCATCATTACTGATTGATATGAAATTTCAATCTTTATTCATGAGTAAAGTTACTACATTCATTTAAATCAAAAGTTTTATAATGCCTTAAAAGAAAGAAAACTTTGTTAGCGAAAATTTTGTATTAAAAGTGTTAATTTGTCTTTTTACTTCGTTTATTATATCACTTCTAACGCAATCTAAAAAGATACAAGAAAGTTTTTAAAATCAATACGATAAACATACAAACATTTACATTTTATCCATAAAATCTTTATTTCTAACAAACGATTTGATTTTTTATGCCATTTTAAATAAAAAGTCATTAATTAAAAAATCTATTTTATTTATTAGAAAAAATTTTTGTTACGGTTAAATTTGTCTTTATAAAACGATTTAATTTACTAGAAAATTAACATAATTTAGTAAAAAATATTACAATTTGCGTTTAATAAATAAAAATTGCCACGTGTAAGTTAAAAATAAGGAAAATCAATAAATGTTAAAGATTAATTGATTTTCGATTAACACTAAATTATCACAATCATTCTCACAAAAATATTTAGAAAATATTTAGAATGTGTTTTCAAACTAACATTTTCTCAATTCAAAGAAAGCAATCCCGCTAAATAATAAATTAAACAACGTCGTGAAAGGATAATAATTCAATAAATTCGTGTGTGCACAGAAAAAGAAACAATTTTGTAGGTTTAATTTGTGTATGTAAAAATATGATGTCAAGCATAAATTATTAAGAAATTCTTAATAAAAAAATCTAATGGAATAAACATCAACCGAAATATTTACATATTTATTTAACTGATTTTTAAATAACAATAACGTTAAATAAACAGACATTTTTTTTAAAATTTGTTTAGGAATGGAATACTTGGCAAATGTTTGTCATACACTGTTTGGAAGGATATTTCGCATATGGGTGTCAGTAATTCCGGCAGTTATGGTTTTAGAGCCAAAGGATGTTCAAACGATAATAGGGTCGAGTAAACACAACGATAAGAATTTTTTGTACGCTCTTATGCACAATTTTATCGGCGAAGGTTTGATATCGAATAACGGTGATAAATGGAAAATACATAGGAAATTAATTCAACCCCATTTCCATATTAACATTTTGGAACTTTACGTTAATAGTTTTTGTAAAAGCTCCTCCAGACAAGTTCGAAAATTAAAAAACGTTAAAGATATCAACGTTAACACATACGTAAACGATTGTGTGTTAGATATTTTACATGGTTAGTTAATAAACATTATTTATAAATTATATTTAAACATTTTATCTTTTAGAAACAATCTTAGGGATTCCATTAGAAGATGCCGAAACTAAAGAAAAATCTCCATTTAGAAAGTTTGTATACGGGGATATTTCAGAATTATAAAAAAACTACTAGTTTTTTATTTATTTAATTTGGAAGACTTCTTCTATCTTCTTCACATTTCTAGTTCTTCTCTATTTTTTTCATTTTTGTAATTTTGATTGGAGGAATTAACTTTATTGTGTTGAGAATTTAGTTATCTGAAATCAAATTTTGAACAGAAAAAGTAAAAATTAATATTATTATACGAAATTGATGAAATTAGCTGGGGATTACAAGATAATAGTTAATATAATACATAGTAGTATTGTAATTCTGGAATATCCTGTAAAATCATAAAAAAGAGTTATATGATTTACCATGATATAATTCAAATTGTAACACATTGTAACTAAACGTTTTTTTATATATTTAGAGGTGCAATAACACTTCCCATTCGAATACAAAAGCCTTGGTATTTATTTGATTATCTCTATAAGTTTACAACAATAGCTCAAGATGAATTGTCTCAAAAGACTAAGCTTCATGATTATACGAGAAAGGTAAACATGTTATTTTAGTATTAATAGAGCAAACCCTTTTCATCGCCAGTAAAGCTTCTTTTAATTTTTACATATTTTTTTTAAGAGTTTGGATCGATAACCTAAAAAAAGGCTTTACTGCTGCAGTGTAACCTAACAGAATGTTAACTATTATTATTTTTAGATGATTGAATTAAATAAATCCATCAAAAATGATAGTAACCACAGTTTGTTGCGAATTTTTCTCGACATATCTGAAAATAATCCACAGTTTACAGAGGATGACGTTGTTAACGAGATTTGCACATTTATGTTAGCAGTACGTATTATAACGAAATTAATGCCATATGGCTTCTTGGTAGTAAATTCAATCAATATATGCATATTATTTAGTTTTGTAACACAATAATATACACGAGTAAATCTATTTTTAAGGGTTAAAATAATTTCTAATTTCTGTTCTAATAGTTTTTTTTCTTTGATAGGGCCAAGATTCGGTTGCAGCAGCTGTAGCTTTTTCGCTTCATTGTTTGGCTTATAACCAAGAAGCTCAAGCAAAAGTATGTCAAGAACTTGATGAAATTTTCAATGGAAGTGATCGATGTGCAGATGCAAGCGATTTAAGGAAAATGAGATATTTGGAACAATGCATTAAAGAAACTTTAAGATTATATCCAAGTGTTCCAATTATTGCAAGAAAACTATCTGAAGATGTTACAATAGGTAAAAAATAGCTATTTAAACTTATATAAAAAAAGTTTCATTTATTTGTCAAGATAAAATTTGTATCTATTGGAATAATGCGGAAAGTTGAGCTGATTAAGCGCCGTTGGACGATATCAGCCGTTTTTCTAGTATTTTCTGCCAAAAGCTTACTACTAATAGTTTTGATGCAAATCTAAAATAGATACAGAATATGATTATAATAAACAAATTATATTCTCAAACAATAAGTCACCACAAAAATGTGTTTCACAAATCTTGCCGTTGTAAAATAAGTGAAAATAATGTTCTTTATGATTGTTTCAAACCATTCCCAGCTATTGCATGTAAATGTCCATAAAATATAATAGCTAAAAATATCGTAAACAGTGGGATGACCTTCCTGAAATGCACGTTTTTTCAGAAACACTTCGCAATATAAATTTGGTGCACAGAGATAATTCTGGAATTTGTCTGCCTGATCTTTTTTCTTTCTCTCTATACATTCTTTATGACCATTTTTGTTTGTCGCTTCAGCATTAATTTCTATATTATCTACTATCCGTGCAAAAAGTCAAGGCTCCTCACTTTAGAGATCGATATCTTCATAACCGCTCAATGAATAAAATTGCGGTAAAGTTTATTGTAATCAGTGAACATTTCTGCGTATCACATGTTAATTTAGAAATTTTCAGGTCCGTGGTTTTTCTTTTATCGTGAGTTAAGTAAAAAAAGTACCCGATTTTTGAGAGTACCAGCAAATTTGTCTACTTTGCGATTTTTTTTCTCCAAAACTATTTCACGAAAAAATTTGAAATTTAGACTGGTGGTAAACCGATGTGTTCTTAATGTGGGGCGTATTTTATTTTTTCGGTATTCCATATAGTTTCGCAGAAAATCGCGGTTTAGTACGATGCGGTTATTTCGAAAACGACCTGGCAGATTTCAACGCGGTTTTTACCAAAATATAGGAACAGATGGTGTATCCCAGACAGTACGTCGCGCCTTTATCTTACCTACCTAAAGAAATAAGGCGCGACGTCCTGTCTGGGACGCACTGATAACGGAATCCGACAACCGACATTATTTGACATATTTTGATCAAATTCGCGAGAAAATCCATCCAGCCGTTTTCGACATAACGGCGTCTTACTAAACTGCGATTTTCCGCGAAACTGTATGGAATATCGAAAAATGTTCAAAATTCAAATTTTTTCGTACGATAGCTTTCAAGAAAAAAAATCGCAAAGTTGACAAAGTTGCCGATACCGTAAAAAATCGGGTACTTTTTTCATTTAACTCGCGATAAAAAGAAAACCGTAGATCCGAAAATCCACATTCAGTGATTACAACAAACTTTGTCGCAATTTTTTTTATCGTGTGGTTGCGAAGATATTGATCTCTAAAGTGAGGGGCCTTGACTTTTTGCACGGATAGTAGTTATCTCAAAATAAATTTATCCAGTTAATGGACATTTTCTTTTTTTAAATTATAATCAACAAATATATGTATACTAAGTGCAATTGATGTATCTAAACCACGTTTAATACTTGTAAACAATGCATACCCTTATGTATCAGAAAGTTCCTCTCAGAAGTGGGTGAAACCCTTTTTAGTTTCGGAGTTGTGTAGCCGAGGTAATGTGAGTAAAGCTGAACTGGTTTATATGAGAAACTTACTACAGTCGTAATACTTCGTGGTGCCCTTTCTTGGCCTTTTCGTACGGTTGGGGCCTTTAATATTCCGGAATAATCTTTGAATCATTTGGTTGCAATGTTGTTGTGACATTATCTTGCTCATATGATGGGCGTCAGAAATTTATCTAGATTGTGCAAGAACGTTATCGTCAACTATTTACTGGAGATCCTCCTCTATTCTTAAATTTTCATCCACTGCTCGCTCTAATGCCCTCGTGCATCCTTATCCTGCATATATTACCGATTCAACGTTCATCCAATAACTATTGGCCTTCTCCTCATTACCACACTTGAATTTCGCCTCAAACCTCATCACTTCTCTTCTGTATTTTGTCGCAAGGTATCTCATAATCTCATTTTATCTTTTTTACTATCCATTATCTGCACTCTTCGTTATTATTTTTGCTAATCTTTTTCTGTCTTTTTGTTCTCTACACATCATTGTTCTTTCCATTCTTCTGTTATATCTTTTTTTGTTCCTATAGGGTTGTTCTATGATTTCACGATTTTCCTCAAATATTGCTACCCTCTGCGCGTACAATATACCGATGTATCTCGATCTAGAATCAATACCACTCATCCGTTACTAAACCTTCAAATGAAATCTTGTCTTCTTGAATGAAAATATGATATGATGAAAATATGATGAATGCAATACCTTCGTTATCCAAAACACATGGCTCTTCCCCAAATTCAATTATTGCCATTGTATTGCATTACTGTTCTTATTTACTATATCAATTGCCACCTAATACTCCTTCTTCTCATTTTCTTCTGCCATCTCAAACACGAGCTCCAAATCAATTGAATTAAAAGCTGTTGAATTGGACTTTTTTGCTTTCATGTCTTTATCTCAACTTCCTACTTTTTCTTCCCCTTTTTTTCTGAACTATAAGTTTAAAAAGTGATGAGAGATATCTCATCACTTTTTAAGCTTCTCTACCATTAGTTTCCTCACAGCCTGGATTACCTACATTGCGTCTACTTCTTATTGCTGCTTCCTTGATTATCTTGTAAACTTATTCATTTCGTTAATCTCTTCTAACCCCTACCGAAAATTCTTTACTTTTGCCTTATGCCGTCACCTCTTCAGTTTTACAACTTTAATGAAGTTCGCATTCCATAGATTCCCCCACCCTGAACATGTGACCTACACATTCTTATATTTTCGATCTATAATTCTGATTACCGATGCATTTCTTACCGCTATATAAGTGTACTCACCCTCATATTTTTCTCCTTATTTCTCTTTCTCTTATTTGATCAAGCCTTGTAGTAAAGTCTATCTCTTTCAATTACTTGATATCCATTATCGCTTTCAATACCGTTATCTCTTTCTTGACACTTGTAATAATTCTGCATTGGACTTATCCTGTTTTGTACTGACTTTTCTGGTACCTTTTTTAATTCTATCATTCCTCCACGTTTTATCCACCCATGTCTCCACATTACCAATTTTGTGATATTTCTTTATATACTGAACCGTAGGATGCACACCCTGAAACGGTCCGGGTTTCGGATGCCCGCGCTTATTTTAATAGCAACTTGTTTTCTTTAATCAACAAACAGGTGCTTTAACTGTGTTAATAAACTCACTTAATTAATCTAAATTTACTTGCAAGTGCATATTTAACATATTTGTGCTTCAATTGTTACAAATAATATAAAGTTTATCTTCTGTGAGTCTTTCAACTTGTATTCTTTTGTAGTCAAAACGTAGAAATCTTGATATACACTCAAATTTTCTAACTGCCATACCAGTTTTACACAAAGGATTGGATTTTCCTGAGAAAAGTGATCTTATTGACACATCCTAATTTCTTTCAACACCGGCTTGCAGCACCAAACCCAAAAATGCATAAAGCTCAACCAAGCCTATTTGGCGCCATATTATATTTTTCTGTCGGCTTATAGCAGGTCTGTCTTCTATATCTGTACAAGGAAGTATCTCATTCAAAATGCCTTCTGTCATGAAATATACAAAAACATTTTGAGGGGAACAAAATATTTTAGATTAGCAGGACCTTGAGCACGTCTTATAATGTTATACTGCAAGTTTTAGATTGACATGGTGGTGCAGTTTGCCACAGCATTCCATTTAGAGCAACCAATTCATTTGTGGAATGTGTCGTTGCGTTTTCGTTTTCATCTTCACTAGATTTTTCGCTGGACTTACCTTCTGAATATGCTTCGCTCACTATTTCGTACTGTTTCCATCTTTCAATTCTGAACTTTCACGACTAAAACATTCCTCAGCTCAACGCGTAAGCGTTTCTTCAAAAGTCTTGTTATCGACACATACACTTTGTAAGATTTTGAAGTACAAGTCATTTTTGGACCAAATAACACTACACGTAACAGTAAATATAAACCTTGATATATACATTGCCTTCAACTGCACCATTTTGCAAGTTCAGAAAAGAGCGACCTCTTGCAACAACCTCAATCACGAGTGTTTCGATTCGGAAAGATTGCGCAGAAATAAACTTGTTGGGCCGTTGAGGATGTTTTTTGATATATTAATTAAGTGACATTGGATACTTTTAGGTATTCCTGAAAGCATATGTAAAACAATAATTAAAACAATTACAACTATTTTTAAACCATGGCCCTGAAAGTTCGAGGCGTGCATTCTAGAGTTAAATAAAGGTTACCCTTTTTGTCAATAATACCCGCAATATTCCAAAGTAACCCTCATCCCCTTCTTCCGTTGTAATTTTGCAAAATTCTTCCATTCTTTATTTCTTAGTTCGTGTATGATAATCACCTTTTATGCTTCATCCTTAAATTCATGCCTTTTCTTTGTACAATAACTATACATAATGTTTTTATCATATCTTGTCTGTATATGCACAAACAGTTGATAATTATAGCATTTTGACGCCTTTTTATAGTCTACAACCTCCCACGATTCCTGCCTATAAAAGGTCTTCGTTAGGCAAACAATTTTCTCACCCCTCCAATTACCTTTATGATCTAATTTACATTGTCGGTGTCTCTTCTGTCACTTTTAACCTTATTTGCCTATTATTAGAAACTCTTGAGTTCAGACACCAATTCAGATTCATTCATCTAATGGTTATTGATTGAAATACGTTTTTCTTTATTCTGTGTGGCGTATTGTTTGTCAGCTATTAATTAATTACTACATTTTCTAGATTTTTATTTTAATAGCTGATTATATAAAATGTAATTGGTTAGTTTAATACAGTAATCGCAATTCTGTTTTAATTTGAAATTGTAAGGAAATTAATCGGCCAGTTATTTGAGTTGCCTACGATTTAGGCGAGAAAATATCAATAGAAATATTTGAATTTGAGAATCCTAACACTTCTTTTTTTATTTTTAGATAAATATACTCTTCCTGAAGGTTGTAATGTATTCATTTGTCCATATGCGACGCATAGATTAGCACATATTTATGAAAATCCAAAAAAATTCGATCCGGACAGATTTTCACCAGAAAACCTGGAAAAACTTCATCCATTCGCTTTTATTCCATTTAGTGCTGGACCAAGAAATTGTATCGGATATAAATTTGCTTATTTAGAAATGAAAGTTATTTTATCTTCAATACTAAGATCGTACAAAATATTTCCATCTCACACGAAATTTTCTATTTTATACCGAATTACGTTAAGAGCCAAAGGAGGAATTTGGGTTAGATTCGAACCAAGAGAAGCAATCAAAAATAATAATAATAATTAAGAAAAATTTTGTTATTGATATTTATGTTATTAATAAAAAGAATGGGTTTTTAAAAAATATATTTTGAAAGAAAACTTTATTTTTTAATTTAAATACTATTTCTTGCCATTCATTTGAAGAATAATCAAAATAAAATGTTTGTCAACGTCATTTAAAAATAAATTTAGGCTTCGGCCAAAAAAAAATTCTTTAAAAAAAATTCCAGTATCTTGTGAAATACAATAAGAAAAAAATTACATTTTACTAATTAAAAATGAGCCATTAATCCGGAATATGATAAATCCTTTTCGAAATGGTTTCAAACAAATTTCCAAACGTCTTCAAACGTATAGATGCAGATTAAATCCGCTGCAAAAATTGAAACCATCGCTTACGGAATCCCTAAAAGTTGCCGCTTATACATCAAGCGCTTTTTTAGCTGGAGTTATAGCTAAAAAAATTTTAGACGATCCCGATAATTTTTTGGCTATTAAAAAAGTCGAAGCTTTGGGTAATAGTTCACTCAGAAATCAATTCAACTTTATAGGTAAAATTCTTTTTTATTTAAAATCAAATATTAAAACATATCCTTTTAGGTCATGTTGTTAAGAAATGCGCACCTGGAGTTGTTTACATCGAAATCCAAGATCCGAAACGGATTGATCCGGAAACGAACGATTCTTTAATAATTTCGAACGGTTCCGGATTTGTAATCAGATCGGACGGATGGATTTTGACCAACGCTCACGTAGTGATCAACAAACCAAAGTCGTTAATCACCGTGAAAATGCACAACGGATCAGTTTTTCAAGCGACTGTTGAAGATGCCGATATGAACATTGATTTGGCTTTAATCAAAATTAATAGTCCCGAACCTTTACCAACGTTACAATTTGCCAAACCCGACGATCTTACCGTTGGCGAATGGGTTGTCGCTTTAGGCAGTCCATTATCTTTAAGTCACAGTGTTACAGCAGGAATTGTAAGAAAATAATTATTAAGTAGTTACAAAAAAGATAAATTAGAGTAATATTGTTCGTTGGACGTTCGCCGTAATTATTACGTAACATTTACCTCCTTTGTTCTTTGATTCTTTACAACTCCTCGAACTAATTAAAGAGACCTTATAAAGGTTCTTACGAAGAGAACCTTCGAGAGTTACCTAGTTGCTGTATTATTATAGCCGAGTCACATTATACCCGATTTATATTATCTCAGTAACCTTTTAGACTATATTTCAACTAGAATAATTTAAAGAGTATGTTGATATAACATATATAACTGAAATGGTAATCTACCATAGAGCCAATTAGGTTATTAAAATAGATTTCCCACTAAATCAATCACTATTCTGGAATCAATTTGTCATTGAACAAATTGGTGTATGTTTTGTAACTTAGAAAGTAAAGTTAATATTAAATTAACTTCCATGAATAGAATTAAATAAGAGGTTGCTATTACAGTGAAATTCCCCTAACTCGAATTACAAGAATTTCAACTCTAAATTAGAAATGTACTTTTTTAATACGTATATTTAAAACAGAAACCTTAATACAATTGTAAGTAGAAAATTAATCAAGTTTTTTAAAGTAATCCGTAATTTTCTTTTGGCTTAAAGTGGACAACCGCTCTTTGTCGAAAAAATTTTGTATTAAATGTAGAGAATTATGAATATTATCTGGAACATTCTCTCTTGATAACAAAGGTTTCAAGCTTTCTAAGAGAGGAATAAGCTTCATCAAATGTAGGCACAGCGATAAGTATTTCAATTTTAAGATTATCATCATCTTCATCTGATTCTGAAACAATAAGCACATTAGGTTTGTTTTGGTTCAAGAGTCTGTAGTTTCTGAGCCTGAGTCTATGTGGTTTGATTCTGTAGTTAAAATTACTTATAGAACGGATTCGAATATTTTATTCTTTGGTAAATTCGACTTATAGAAGTAAAAGTTCAAGAAATTCCATAATACTTCAGTTCGAGTTACAGAGAAATTCGAGTTAGTGAAATTCGACTTAGAGAGATAAAAACACATTTGAAACCTAGTCAAACGCTTGAGCTTACGAAAATTATTCGACTTATGTTAGAGGATAATTCGAGATATAGAAGTTCGAGTTAGAGGAATTTCACTGTACTTAAGAGAGGTTTTTTTTTGTTCCAATGATCGCAACTTTTATTGATGATTACAATTAAAATTTAAGAACAAATAAATAATGTGTGTAGGTTACAATTTTAATGCAATTGGAGAAAAACCGAAAGCATGTTTTAAAAGGTGTTGAAACATAAAATGATACCCACATGAACGTCAAGGTAAACATTATGCTGACAGATACATACATCGATATTTCGTGTTTATTATTTCTTATTTGGTATCGTTACAATGTTAATTAATATTACTAAGTTAGGCACTTTATTAGTTTTGATAAGTAAACATCAATAACAAATGCAGAGAGTGCGGTACATTATAGTTAAAACTGTTGATTTAATGTTTCAACCTAGGAAGCGATTTGAAATTTATAAAACGACCAGAAAAGATAAAATCGATTTCTGGGATAGATAATATTATATCAATATATTGTTTGATGAAAGGTCATCAATAATTGTTTGCTCAAAATTTGTGAAATGAGAGACCAATTTAGGGTGTGCGAGAAACTTGTTTATAAATCTCATTGTCAAAATCGATAAAGGTGCATTCTCGATCAACGTTTTTAAAACTTTACTCGAACTTGGTTTTACGGGTTAAAAGGAGGAAATTGAGGTTTTGTGATTTTCCATTATATAGAAAGTAGTTTATATACAAAACTTTTATTAAAATTATCCCGAAAGAGTAATAAATGAATGAATAAAATACTTTATTTTTACTACATAACAATACCAATACGAAGTTAGTCCCCAATTTTTTCCAATTTCCAATTAGATAGGGTTTTACATGAAATTACATGCATTTTGATCATAACAAGAGAACGACTTAACCGATTTCGATGTACAATATTTTATTCGAAAGCTTAATCCTTGGCCAATACGAAAGTGGAAATGCTCGATACAAAATCTGCTTTGAATTCCGCTAAAACGTTAAAGTAATGTGAAGGTACCCAAAAATGATGTAAAAATAGCTAATAACGTTCTTGCGTCTATTGTAGAGTGGTGAACATCAGAAACTTAAATTTTAACGGTTTTGATGATTACAAATTGTTGCTGATTTAAAGATCGACGATATTTGTCTCTGATATCTAATTTGTGTACTGGTGAAAAGCTAATACCATCCTCATACATTTCAGTGTTACTTTCGATTATTAAAACGCCTTCACTTATATCTAAACTGTTTTCATCTTTGGCTTCAAACAAGGTATGTAGTGAAAGGTGGAGATTCTGTATAACTTCAGAGCTTTTTTTCGGAAGCGGACATGTTACTGATTTTGGATAAAGCTGAGAATGTACAGAAAATCCAATCTTATTGGCAAATAACGGTTATTTGCACCGTGAGCTGTAATAGTTATTTTTGTACTCCCGCACAAATGCTTTTTGTTACCGTAACTAACAGGAATATTTAATGACCAAATGTGCATGTTTATAAGAAAAGGTTAATAAGAACGTTTTATACATTCTTGTGCAGATAACACAGTTTTAAATTATTTAAAAAAATCTATAAAAATCAATTTGCAATCAATAAAATCAATATTGACGTTTTGAATTTCGGCTGATTTTTTCCTGTCAAAAACCCCACATGCAACTCATATCGTCACACAGGGACGTTTTATTCGTTACAAAAAATATTGTACAATACTCATGCGCAAAGGATTTTTCCAGCATTCGCACGCAAATGCAGAACTCACTCCCTTCGGTCGTTCGTTCTGCAAACTAGCGTGCTCATGTGAAAAGCAAGCCTTTCCGCATTTGTATCGTAAATAACTATTATATTACAAGTGGGCTAAAAACATAATTACTATACGAGTATGGAGAATTGCACGACGAGGTCGTAGGCCGAGTCGTGTAATCACACGCGTACTGTAATTATACTCTAGCCCACGTGTGACATACAACATTTTATCTACGACTGCTAAAAATTACTTAAAAATCAATTTCTTTAAAAGGGTCTATTTTGACATCTACAAAAATATTTTGAAATGATTGTTGACAATTTTGAATTAATGTCAGATTCAATAACATGTTTACTCATCAATAACAATTAATGTTTATAATAAATAGTATTTTTTCTTTAGGTAGCACTTTTTCTTTTGTATTGTTGCTCGTTTCAATAAATTAAGTCTGTTCTGATTGGGCTAAAAATGCGTTACGTAATGAAACCAGTGCGGTAATGAACTTCATTACGTAACTCAAATCACCTCATGAGTGTGGTAATGATGACCTATCCAAGCAGTCGTAGATAAAANCAAAAATGATGTAAAAATAGCTAATAACGTTCTTGCGTCTATTGTAGAGTGGCGAACATCAGAAACTTAAATTTTAACGGTTTTGCTGATTACAAATTGTTGCTGATTTAAAGATTGACGAGATTCTTGTCTCTCATATCTAATTTGTAAATCAGCTAATATCATCCTCACACATTTCAGTGTTACTTTCGATTATTAAAACGCCTTCACTTATATCTAAACTGCTTTCATCTTTGGCTTCAAACAAGGTAGGTGGTGAAAGGTGGACATGCTGTATAACTTCAGAGCTTTTTTTTCGGAAGTGGACATAAACGTAAAAGTTACTGATTTTGGATAAAGCTGAGGATATACAGAAAATACAATCTTATTAGCTATTAATGGCTATTTGCACTGTGAACTGTAGACGTCATTTTCTGGTGCATCACTGCATCTATTGCATGATAGTTTTGAACTAGCTAAGCCCATTTTCTCTTTTCCTTTCATGAATAAATATCGAAGATTCAGACCAACGACTGTTCTTTTTGGCTTCCATCCAACTTGTTGATCATGTTTGAAGTATCTTGGTTGATACGACATTTGCCTTGGACAATTTTGATATTACTCCACATAGAACTATTATAGTACAATTTTCAAATTCCCTCCCATTATCAGAATATAATATATGGACGTAGAATTAGACATTTCGTGAGATGGTCTTGATATGACATAATAAATTTAAAAGTTTCATCATCGTTGGACTGCATATGCATTAGGTCAATTTGGCATCTGGAGCTTATTTCACTATGTAAACTTGGTTTCACTACACTTCGTTTTTCGAGCATGCTGTTTCTTTTATAAAAGAACAAATACTACAACATAAATTCCACAGTTATATTTTGTGTTTGTGATTAACCTCTTTCAGTATTCCAGTTCTACCACCTTGACCAGTTGCAAGATAAGTTCCAGGTATGATTGTAAACAAATCCCCATAATGTATGTAATAACAAATATCTTGTGAGACTGTAGGAATTTGAGTCAATTTGAAATCAAAAAGGGTAAGAATATCAAATCTGTTTAATTTTCGATAAAGCACTGTATTTTTTGACTAAATTCCACGAAAGTATTTACTGTATTTTTCTATGGTGATATAAAAATTATTATTGGAGTTTTTTTCTGCAAAGTTTATCCATTAATTGTGTTGTAAAAGGAAGATATATAAGCACAGGAGTGAAGTGGTGTTTGCAAAATACATGACACGAATTTCGGTACTCACAAGCTTGGGTTATCTGATAGGAGAATCGCTTTTATTTCATTATGTTAATTTTTGATTTTGTCTTTTATAGGTCCTCTTAGCATTTTCATACATCTGATACAAAATGCTTATAATACCACTTAGAGAAAATTAATCGTTTAGTATATGGAGGCAGCTTCTTCTAAATGCTTCTGGAGAGCAGGCTTCTTATATTTGCGACGTGGTATGGAATCAAATTTACGTCAACGTTCATTAGCAGAATACTACATATTCAGAAAGTTTAGATATCCTATTAATTATTATTTACGCACTCTGCTTCTCATATAATCGGTTAGCAGACGTTTTCTAATTGTTTGGTTAACTCAAGCTTCTGTATTATTGTAAAATTGACGCTTCTCTTTTTTTCTACGTTTCTATAGAAAATTATAACATTTATATAACAAGCATAATCGTGAAGAATTGAACTAGAGACTTACTTTAATAGTAATCTAAACAGATAACAAAGAGAAACAAAACCATATACATTTATATTTTCCATTTATATTCAAATTTATACATTTCCGGGTTATATTCTATATCAGGAGTGGCCAAGCTCTTTGAGTCCGACCATTTTTCAATTTGAAATTTTTTGCGAGCCGCAATTAAATACATATATATGTATATATTAAAACGGTATGCAAAAAAGGTATTACAAAACATATTTTTACAGAAATTATATCAAATAAACTAAAAAAAAAAAGGTACTTGGGTACATTTATCGAGAGCCACAAATAATCCTTCAAAGAGCCGCAGTTTGGCCACCGTTGTTCTATATATTTATTATTCTATAGAGAATGAAAGACTAATGTCACCTAGTGTCATAACCTAGTAGTTATGTTAGTGAAATTTATGGCAGCTGTTTCAATAGTTTGTCCGTTGTTTCCGAGGACTATGATTTAACAGTAAATCGAAGTTCGTAATCCGAGGCTTTTGTTGCTTCTAGAATAGAACCACTGGTAAGCATTATAGTAGGAAGCACGTAACCTCCATAATCGACCTTACAAACAAGAGAAATTATCGATCTCAATGAAACATATGGTTTAAGTACATACTATTTGAAATCAATGTCATTGATTATGTTACATATAATTCTGAAAGAAATCTCTTTCAGCTTATTTAGCTAAATGTAATGTGAGAAAAAGTAGTTTTCAAAATTTTAGAATTAGTATAAATGGTGGTTAGTTTTATAGGTAAAAATTGAACACTGAATGATAAGTGCATTCTTTTGGTTATAAATTTAGAATTAGTCTTTCCTTTTACTAAACACGATATTTAAAGAACTTATATCACGGAACTTTAGTGTTTTCGGTTATTATATTTGGCAGTAATTTAGGATGCCTCAACTTCGATCGTAATGAAAGATTACAACGGTGGCAGATCTTGCCGAGTGTATGGATGATATTTAGGAATATATGAGTAGAAAGTTGATAGAGGAAAAAAAGGAGTATATGTGTATAGGAGGACAGAACAGGCATCTTCTCTTTGAAAACGACAAACATATCAAATAATGAACATTATACTAATATCTGTGAATGACAATTACGAATGACGGATCCTAGACACACCAATTAAAGAAAGAAACAGTTTAGGAAGGAAGGCAATAAAGATAATAGACAAAATAATATGGGATCAAAAAATATCAAAACTAAATAAGCAAAGAATATACAACACTCTTTGTGTGGTCATATGGAAGCGAAGTGTGACCATGGAAACAAAAAAGGGAAAAAACTTAAAGCCACAAAGCCAATAGTCCATATTGATGCCATATGCAGGTGGATGGAAATGAGAAAAGATAAGGAACGTAAGAATCTGGGAAATCATGGATGCTAAACTCACCATCGTAGATGATATAAGAACGAAACAACTGAGATGATTTAGCCATGTCCACAGGAGGGAAGAGAATGAACTTCCCAAACAGATCCTAAGTATAAACCATGCTCATAGAAAGAGAGCAAAACCAGAGAGGAAGATGAAGGAGAATATAAGGAGATGAGAGAGGTGGAGCAAAACCTGTGGAGGGACAGAGAGCAGTGGAGATTAAGAATCGGAAGACGTCGGAGAACGTTTTGAGCCGAAATATAGAATATTCTAAAGAATTTGCTGTTCTATGATAACTTCCTGATGACATATTGCCATTGGATAAAATATTGAAGAAACGAAGTAGAGGCAGTTATGACAAAAAGCTATTAGAGACTTAACATTAGAAAAGAGGCTACGAGTTCAAATCTCTTCTCAAGCAAATTAATATCTGCCTTTCTAGGCTATAATTTTATAACACATATTTGTGGACTTTGTAGACTTGCACCATAAACGAGTATTCAATCAGTTAAAAAAATTTCTATGAATAATCATAATATGAATAGTATTTTGATTCAAGTAGAATTCAGTTATAAAGTACTGAGTAGTTCAAATAACTAGTTCAGTTTTCAAATTGGCTTTCTGACTAAATTCAAAATACTGAAGTCCTATTTCAACATTAAATTTCACCTCGATTAATTGTTGCAGTATTTTTTGTTAAAAAGAATGCATCAATTAATGAGTTGGATTTCCTTCTCATTCCACTCTCATTTTCCTGTACTAAAATATAAATTGTTCAGAGAAATTCAGTTGCAATCTAGTACTAAATTGTATAGCACAATTTATATGAATCATTAAACAGGATGGTTACTGTTATGATATGAACTAAATAATAAGAAACTAATTTACCTTAATAATTTATAATTTTTCACCAGATAAGTTCAGTAAACAGAGCGGCTAGTGAATTGGGATTAAGAAATCACTCGATGCAATACATACAAACAGATGCTTCGATTACTTTTGGAAATTCTGGTGGGCCCCTTGTGAATTTAGATGGGGACGTCATCGGCATTAATAATTTAAGGATAACAGCTGGGATTTCTTTCGCAATTCCAATTGGTTATAACAACTTACTTTTTATTAAATAATACCGAAACGTTTTAATTAATATATTTTTGCAGCATATGCAAGGAAATTTTTGGATAACGGCAAACACCCATTAAGTAAAAATGGTGGAGCTAAACCGATCGATTTGAAAAAAAATCTTGGGATGACCACTTTACCCATAACGGCTTCAATTTTAGACGATGTCTTTGAAATGCAAAAATTTGAGGGTAAAAAATGTGAGATTCAAGGTGTTCTAATTTATAAAGTTGTCGATAATTCACTTGCCTACAAGTAAGTTTATTTTTCAATTTTTTTATATGTTTGATAAATTTTAATCGAAAATAGGAGTGGTTTATTAGCTGGAGACATTATAACTCGAGTTGATGGAGTTACAGTCCAAACAGCTGGTGATATTTATTCGAAAATAGATGGAAACCGAAAAATAACGTTGGAACTTCTCAGAAATGGACAACCTATCGAAGTTACTATGGATATTGGTTGCATTAAAGATTTACCTATATTATGAAACAAACATTTTCGATCTTATGTCCAATATTAATAAAGAACTCAAAACCTATTAAATACCTTCCTTTTTAGTACATAGTGAACTGTCAACAACACACCTTCGCCAGTTTTAATGAATAACGTCAAAAGATATGCTCGGACGGTGAGATAAACGCAGCCTAGGTTTACGTTTAGTACAAAGGGAAGGTTCCGTTTCAATGCCGACGTGTTCCACGTGTATACCACGTTCTGGTGGTCGTGTCTATAATTAAAATGTATATATGAAAATTTCCTACCGCAGCGAAACTTCATTGTATGATATAGTCGGATACAAAGTAACCACATACTTTAACCGCAACAAAGTTCACGGAAAACGAAAACTTTCGACGAGCTATATGGTATGACTGTTTGATATGCAAAAAGAAATGATGGAGTAGTTCTTTGTAGTTTCATAATGGTTTTCATCCTTCTCTGGATTTGCTTCAGATTTGCGACTGTGTGTTTGTGAATATGTAAGTGTGTGTGTAATGGTTTATTATAGAAGCAACCACTTCAATCGATGTTCAATAACAAATCCATTTTCTCGAACCGACGCGTTTTATAACATCCGTTACAGGATTAACGTTGAGTTTCAATAATAGTTTTCGTGTAACAAATCAAAAAGTTTCTATTTTTAGAATTTTCAATTTTAAATTAACTTTGGTTTTAGTTTAGATTCTGTAACGAATCAGGACCGGATTAATAGAAATATATTTCAAGTGTAAAATCAAATTATTACAATATTTTATGAGTTTGAATTCCAATAAAGTAAGTTGTGGATTTTAACCATTTTATAAAATTTCTATGTGATTCACATCTAACAAATTGTGATGTTGGGCAGTTTCTCTGATTGTCTCGTTCAATGTACACCTAGTTTGATAATGACGTTTTTTCTTTGACAAACCGAAGTTGGATATTAGCTGTTTAACAAATATTTGAGTTGGTTAAAAAAAATTTTAATCTTTAAATATAATCCTGTATCATCCACAATATTAAGTGCACAATGGGAGCTAGAGCTATTCGCCATCTTATACCATCATGAAAAAAATGGTATAACGTTTCGACTAAAACATTCCAACTTTGTCGTTTCCCAAACAAAGGCTTCTGATGAATTGATTATCGATTATTAGCGTTCAAACACCTTCGTTACTCATGATCGGGAAATATAATACAGACACGTCTCTGAAGCAGGTGTTCTCCATAAATTTTCCACTATCAAAGGCAATTGGAGTGGTATTGACGAGGTGAATGCGAAGTGTATCGGTTTGTCTTCATGTTGGAGATACTAATTCATTCTCAGATTATTGTATTTTAAAAAGAAACTTGATTTATAATATTTACAATTATGAGTAAGAAAATATATATTTCTACAATATATTTGTAACTATAATCTGTTTTTTATTTAAATCAATTGTCATTGCCAAATTTTTATAAAAAAACGGTCTGTACCACCCTAGATACCATGTTCTATGACCACGCTTTATAATATTTTCCACTAAATAATAAGTAAGGTTGTGTATATTCTAAACGAAGTTGTCACTGATTGTCACTTTAAAGACGAAGCCACTAATCTCTCGTCACTTGGCTAATATCTACGTTTTGAAATTAAAACTCGTGAGCAATATATTAAGATAACATAATTAAGTGCTATAATTAAAATTTGAATATTGTTTAAAAATCAGAATTACTGGAAGAATCTGAGTCTTCCGCTAGTTGGATGATGACAGGAGGTAAATCAGTTATTAATGAATTTCCCATTAATGTTGTCCAATCTTTTTTAATTAGTTCTTCACAGTGGCGAACACTATTTGCCCACATCTCCGGAGTGTAATGACCAAGAGCTTTTTGCCAAGTCTCCTTGACACGACAGATCTTTTTCTCCGAGCTGGACTGAACATGTTTATTGTAATAAGTTTTTAAGAACGCCCAACATAGTTCAATGGGATTATATTGGCAATTGTATGGAGGAAGGCGAAGAACAGTATGGCCATGGTCTCTTATTAATTTGTCAATTTCAAAGGATTTTTCAATTTGAGGCTTGTAATAACGGATTATTTCCCATAACGATTTTTTATTTAAGGTTGGTTCAAACTGTATATTATGTTCAGTTAACCATTTTTTCATATCATTTTTTTTTGTGCAGAAACTTGGAGCTTTCTCGATTTGTTTTGAGTGATATGGAGCATTATCCATTACTACCGCACACTTCGCACCCAAATTATTTAATGCTGGAAGTAATTGATTTTTCACCCATTCCATAAAAATAATTGACGTCATATTTTTATGATAATCTCTGTGCTCCGTGTTGTCACTGAGCAAGAGATCGCAATTTGGCAAAAACCCTGACGAAGTGCCTGCGTGCAAGATTGTAAATCTTTTTCCTTCGCCTTCTGCTCTTTGCGGAATACCGAATCTTTCATTTTCATTTACCCATTGATAAACTTGGGTGCCATTTTCGTAAATCCAAGTTTCGTCAAGAAAAACAAAAGTATACTCTCCGGATTCTAGGTATTGCAAGTATGTCTTTAAAAATGTAATTCTTTTTGAAACTATATGTGGTTGTTCAATTAACACTTTTCTATTGCTAATCTTTTTATATCTATATCCCATAGATTTTATAATTTTATGTAATTTTGATCTACCATTAGTAAAATCACATTCATTTCTTGCAAAATTAAGTAAATCATTAAGATTAAAATACTGTTTCTTTTCATGCAATTTTTGTATTTGTCTTCCTAACTCTTCTTTAATAAAATATAAATTATTATCCGTTTTGTAGTTCATTTTACAACGCCCTTGTGTTTTTGGTTTTTTTACAGTTTGATATTTTTTGTAGGTTTGAATAATTTTAAAAACCGTCGTGCTGTGAACCTAATACAATTATGTTGAATATAAATTTAATTTTAAAACTCAAGTGCAATACACATACATCAAAAATACGTGAAGCTTTATCACATATATATTTTAAATTCGTATTTGGTGTCTCCGTCTGTACTTCTTCACAATACCTAATTATAGAGTTTTTTTCGCGTTTAGACAGTTGACATCCCGTTCCACCCTTTCTTAACATTTTTATGGTAGATTTAGCAGCAAAAAAATTATATGAAAATTGTTTTTTAATCAATCTTAACAAATTTGATAGACAGTGGTGGCACACAATTAAAGTAAAAGTCACGACATGCGCTTTTACTTTCAATACCAACTTGACGACACTTTGACAATTGATTTAAATAAAAAACAGATTATAGAAAAAAATAGAAAATATATTGCATAATCCCGTTTTTACAATTTACAAGTTGTCGCATAATAATCAATATTGTCGCTTTTTATATAATTAATGTCATTTTAAATGCATCCTTCGATTCTCTAACACTAACCCGAAGTTTAAAATACAGAATGATATTTATTGAGCTATATGAATAAAAATTTACAACTTTTGAACCTGAATTTGCAGATAATGGTATCTTGTTATCCAAAGTGACACATGATTTTGAATATATGTTGTGTATAATAACCCCATCGGACCAATAAAGTGTTTGCAATCCTGGAAAAGCATTTTGGAGAGTCCTCTTTGGTTTTGTGGAATGAGAATTGCTTGAGTCTGCTTGAAATATGAGTCTTGACCTCGTAATGGTGTGTCCTTTTCCGACGTGTGGTCGTTAGTTACACGGTCAATCCCCTTTTTTAGAAGGAAAAGGTACTCTAATTACTACTACCAACGACACCACAGATGTATGACTAGTGCTGGGACCGAGGGCTTATCGTCGCCTTCAAAATCAATCAGAATCAAACTCATTAGTGTAGAGTCACCTTGTTTATAAGCATATGTTAATTAGAACCTGATAAGGTACTTTATAAACAAGAGTCCCTGAATAATGGACCGCATAGGCTTTCTATTGAATTCACTAAAAAGTGTCTAAAAGACATCGGGAGTAAGCAATCTTACTTATCCGGTTTTGGTATACATTTGAATATAACCACGTCAATTTCCCGGTTGTAACCTTGGACGTTTCTCCTTCGATGCGGTATTATACCTTTCAGTCGCCATAGTATAATAGATATGGTTTGAACCAATCCAATCTTGGAGTTTTCAATAATGTGTTTATCCATACCTGTACTTTTTGGATTGTGATTCAGTTTGCTTTTGATCTTAAAGTTTTCAAGATCTATGTCCAAGATTGACTCAATGTTACAAATTCGTCAACACCTATGGATGTTAGAGTAATATTGATAGACTTTTAGCAGATACGAAGATTCTATTCTGTTCTTAAATTCTTTTCTAGGAAGAGGGTACATCTATAATATAAAATTTAATAGTTGAATAAACGTTACATATATTCCTCTTTACTTATCTAAGTGCATCAATAGCTATTTTAAACCACTAAATTAGGGCACAATGGATATTATTAATCAGGATTATTTAATCAGTGCGACAACATTATATTGATGTTGTAATAAAATAGAAGAGTTTGCGATGAAGCGGGTTGTCCTGAATTACAATTGATTCGTTACCATTCCCTAATATATCACCTTTACACCTGTGAATTCTTGTACTGTATATACAAAATAATAACAGACCCAAGAGACTGCTCTGGGGTACAACAGTGCGTAACACACAATCCGATTTGGTACTCTGCATTGTAGTAAAATATCGACCTTCGAAAGTTCGAGAGCGGATATACGTGGTGCCATGTCTTTGAAATATCTCAGCCATTGATATTAAATTTCGTCATTATTGCAAGTTTACCTGAATATACAGTGATTTTTAACAAGTTCAATTAACACAATTTCACTAATAATAACTTATTGCTTCCTAGAAGGTTACAATCTGAAACTACAACACCAATAACTTATGTAATTCTTATCTCTTTCCTCAACCTTTCCGTGTCTCCCTACGTCTCCTTGTTGCCTCCACCTTCTGCATCCATCTCCTTCTGTTCGCCCTCTCCCCCAGCACCTGCCTCTAATCTATCTTCCTCCCTCAACTTACTACACCTACACTCCACCAGCAGATTGTGTAAAGTCTCCCAGCCCTCCTC